TCAAGACTTGTCTCCACTTCTAAGAGGTGCAAAGTTGGCTCAAAGTCTAACAACAGGATGGCCCCTCTTGGCAACCCCTAGGCCAGAACTAATTTATGGACATTTTCTTTCAAACCATTTTGAGGTTCTCATGATGGGAAATGATATATTCGGGGCTATTTTGAATATTTAGCCCTTTGATTAGGGATAGGTGCTATGCAAGGTCCTGGAAATATAAAGATCAGTAAGTTACATCACCTGTCCCTGAGAAGTCACAAGTCTAATGGCAAAAATAAACATATGCATAAACACATAAGATAATGAGTAAAGTTCCTCAGTGGCTGATGGGAAACAGGCACAGAGTCACACCCTGGCTGAGACAGCTCCATAAGACTGGGAATAAGATTCAGGGTCCTGCTTGGTTTGCAGAACAGGTACAACTACTGTTTATTTCTTTTTGATGCTATGATCTGTTTCTTTATTTTTATTCTTGACATGACTGCAGATGTCCTCATTCCCCTCCTCCCTCGTGCATCCCTCCACCCAGCCCCCATCTCTCTTCCCTCTGGCCATCACCACACTGTTGTCTGTGTCCATGGGCTATGCATATAGGTGCTTTGACTGATCCATTCTCCTTCGTTCATCGAGTCCTCCCTCTCTTTAGTCCTCTGAAAGCTGTCAGACTGTTTCATGTATCCATGCCTCTGTTTCTGTTTCGCTCATCAGTTTATTTTGTTCACTAGATTCCACATACTAGAATACTAGTAAGTGAGATCATTTGGTATTTATCTTCTCTGATTGGCTTATTTTACTTAGCGTAATATTCTCCAAGTCAATCCATGCTGTTGGACCTTCTTTTTTATGGCTGCATAGTATTCCAGTGCATAAATGTACCACAGCTTTTTTATCCACTCACCTTGCTAGAACCTCCAAATAAGCTCTCAAGGTACAACCACTTTAAACTAAGTAAACAAGAGATGATAATCTAGGCTCTGGGGCCCAACTTCGAAAGTTCAAATCCCAGCTCCTCCACTTACTGTGTGATCTCCAGGAAGTTACTTAAACTTGCTGGGCCTCTATCTCCTCAGCTGTGAAGTGAGGCTAGTAAGGCCACTTCTTTCAGTTGTTTTAAGGGTTAGAGAAGACAACACGTGAAGAACAAAGCACAATGCTTTCTCAGCTCCATCATTAGCTGTGAAATGTTGGTCTAGTTATTTGAATTCTTCACCTAATCCCTTCATTGTATGTTAAGAGAACTGAATAAATAAACACATGTAAGCTCTTGTAACAATGCCTAGCACAAAAATCTCAGTTATTGTTATTGATATTTTTATCACTACAAACACACCTTCAATGTAATAATGAGAAAGCTTTATATTTTACATTATGTTCTCACATTCAAATACCCAAAGGCCATCAACCTGGCAATCAGAACTTTAATTAAAGGGAGTTAGGAACATTGATTAACCTCTCCAGGCCATTGTCTTTTCATCGATAAAGTTCCCTCTTCCAGAACCTTCCCAATCACCTCCTTCCCTGGGATGCAGAATCAGGGGCCTCAGCCACACACCAGCAGTGCCTAGAACAATAGTCATCCTGGAACATACGGGCCACTTGTCTCCCAACTCAACTGTGAGCTCTTGGAGACCTAGACTTGGCTTTCACCCATCTATCCCATGTGAGATCATAAATCTATGTTTGTTGAATGAGTGACTCCAAATTTTTAGCTGAGAAGTTTTGGGGATGCTGATAAATTCAATTAACTCACATAAAGTCACCAGTTTAGCTAGTGGAAAATGTAAGCCTGGAACTGAGTCTTATTTTTACTATAGTGTCTTCCCCGAGACTATAAAGTCAGCCTCTACAAAGTGACAAATGGGAGTGATTGTTTTCTTTGCAAATAATTCATTATTTTGGGGGCTTAATATTAATTAACTTTCAATTGCAAGCTACTCCAGCGCATTTAAAAACTAATTTGATTTAGCAAATGTCAATGTATCTGCAACTTGTCGGTAACATACCTGTTCACAAAGCTAATGCGAGTGCACCCTGACTCAAGGTATTAACTGATGTGCATTATCGGGATGACGAATGGTTTGTTGTCATTGCCTGCAGAGCGAAGAAGCTGAAAAATTGCCTCAAGAAGTCATGAGTGTGAGACTTCTTCATGGGAACCCATCCAAATACCCAAAGAGGTGGAAATGAAATCTTGAAACCCAAAACTCAAATTCTTCCCCTCCATCCAGGATGACGAGGTCTCCTCCTGACTGCACACCGTGATTGTAGAACACAAGAACAGTGGAAAAGAAGCTGTGATTATCTTTTATGTTCCAAAATGGCCTCTTAGAACTCAGAGACAAGTTTTACAAGTCAAGGCCTTTCATTTCCAAAAGCCAGGGAGCATTAAAAATTAGCTAAAATCTTCTAGCCAAAAGTTTGGATTTATTGACATAAGATCTGTTATATCCTATTCTGGTGAATAGGACTCTATGGGTATCTTCCAGGCCACTTGGAAGATGCTTAGTGGAGAGGCTTCTTCACAACAGCAATTGTGAAGAAGAGGAAATGAAAAGCTGGGGGTGGAGCTTAGGTGAAATGAGATACATTGAGGAAAGATCCTCATGGGATGACGTCCATGTATGTGCGCACACACTAAATCACACACACTCTCCACCTTGGACCCTTTTCTGCAAACTTCCACTGCAATGTTCAGTCTTTTCCTGCCTCAGAATCCTGCAAAGGGCAGGAAGAAACAAGAGGAGATTCTGTCCTAGCGGTTTGGTGAGTCTAAATCACATGATCTCCCTTTCAGATGCCATTGTCCCCATGGTATTGGTGATCACAGTGCACGGTCACCCTTGTTCCTTCAAACTTCACACGTACCCACTGATTCTTTATGCCACTTCAAATTCTGGCACAAAGATTTGCTATGCTATGAACTAGCGATGAACTTAACTTTGATCTTAACTACAAGAGGTGGTACAATTTGACTGTATTACATATCAGCCCCCAAATTATATGAATAGATGAAACCCCTATATTATTAAGGAATGGCAAGGCACTAAATTCTCTGAAGATAGCTTTAAGTATGACAGTTATATTAGACAGTAATTTTTGTGTATATATGTCTGTCTCCCTCACTAGACTCTGAGTATTTTCAGTGTCAAGATCATCTTGTTGGGAAAGCAATGCAATGCCTGACACATTATTCAATTAGTATTTGATGAATGACTGAACAAATAAATGTACATATATCTGGGACAATGTGGCTAAAAGCCCAGATTCAGAGGTCAGACTACCTGGATTCCCATCCCAGTTCCATCCTTACTAGCTATGTGACCTTAGACAAATTTCTTAATCTCTCTCTCTCTTGGGTTTTCAGCTTCCTCATCTATAACATGTTGCAGTAAAATAGTCTTCGTAGAATGCATCCCACAGCGCCTAACACAAAGCAAATATTAGTTATTGAAACTCAAAGTGTATGGCCACTATAGCTACCAAAAGATTCCAAGCATTTAGCTGGTTTGATCTAGTCAAGAAAAAAAAAAAAAAACATTTTGTAAGCCTTCATTTCAGAAGCTGGGCCATGATTTGATCCTTGCAGAATGTGAAAGAGTTCCAGGCACAGGTGGTGGTGAGCAGCTGTTTTCCATCTCCGTTGAGGACCAGCTGAGCGTCTTAAAGAGCCACATGAGTGATTTGAGTATAAAGTATTAGGAATAGCTAGCTTCCTAATGTTCAAGGGTGTGAAACTCTAGGCTGAAGCGTCAAGGCAGGCCATGGAATCCCCGTCTCTTGAGATTCTGTAAAAATTGGATATTTAATCGGCTCTCTCTAAGATGGTTCAAGACACCAGGAAAGCATCTCACATTAAAATATGAAGCAGCTTGCCCAAGTCAGTCAAGCTTGAGTTGTGTTGCTGTTGACCTAGTTTCAGCCAAGTACTGTTATTACCTGGAGATAGATCCCAAAAGGAAGAAAGTGTGGAAAGCAGATTCCCCTACTTAGTGAGACTGTAATGAAACATTTAATATGCTCTCAGTCTGAATTCAAAGTAGCGTTCAGTCTCATTAAGAATCCACTTCTGAAGGACCTGAATGAATGGTGCCTGGTTTACTGGTTTACTTCATGGGAGCAGGCCGCCTCAGGTAAGCACCCAACACCCTATTGCGTGCAAATCATGATACATGCAATTGCCAGATTTAGATGGCAAACAGAAGAGGGGAAAGGGCACTTCCCTTCCACTCTCTGTGGTTAAAGTGTCCCAGAAACTCCTGTGAGTGAGACCGAAATTACCACCTACTACTCCTTCCAAGCAGAGGAGTGTCTTGCATATTTCCTCTCGGGAAGAAAATATTCTGATTTTAGTGAAGATCAGATGCAGTCTCTCGCTCTCCCTCTTGATTGCTCAGAGGAAGAGACCAAAGAGAAAGAAGGCTTCTAGGGGAGAAAAGAAAGCTAGCTTCTAGGGGAGGCTTTGATCCTGAGCAACCTGCGGCTCGAGTGAAGGCTCAGAGGGAATCTGTACAGTAGAGGTGACTGGGAATCTCTGCTGGTGTGCAGTGTTATAGCCACAGAAGGGGATTCGACAGAAGGCTGGAATGGTTATATGTGATAAAGACACTTAAATGGAATTTAACGGTTTGTTCTCTTCCAAAATTACTGAACATTAAGTTTAAATGTTTTCATATAAATATTAAATTATATGTATATAGCAGGATTGCAAATGTGCACGTAACCACTCAGTGTGTGTGTGTGTGTGTGTGTGTGTGTGTGTGTGTGTGTGTGTGTGTTTTTAAGGAAAAGGTCACTTTTTCATTTCCTAAAGCTCTTCTTCCTCTAGGAAGGACACCCCAGTGAGGAGTAAGGGGAAATAAAAAACAAACTTGCAATTAATAATATGTCTCTTCCCCCTTTAAAAAGTGCTTTTTGGTAATTCCTTTTTTTTCTTTAAAGAGAATTGTTTATTCTCTTTCCCTAAAATGACTCATGCTGATGGACAGATACAGTGGATACAGTGGTCCCATGCATTTTGGGTGACTGGTTTGACCCTGCCCTGGCCTGGTGTCTGCTGGGGCACAATGGTCCCTGTGGCCTTTGGGGGCACCGTGTAATCATTCCTAAGGAGTCCACATATACCAGACTGCAGGGAGTTGAGGCCCTGCCTCAGACCATGGTCATCTCCAAGGCCAAGCTGCTATGGCTCCCAAGCCCCCTTAGACAAAGCCAGCTTCTCCTTATGGCTCGCAGCCTTTCCCAAGCTCTGGACAAGGAAAGGTGCCGTGAGTCCCCCCACTCTTGGGCTCCCTGCTCCTAGCGGCATATTTTTATCACCATCTGCTCTACTCCCCACGCTTCCATCTTGCAAAGGGAGGAAATAGTATTTTCTCTTATGGCCGCACTTGCTTTGTTTTAGCGCAACTGGTTTGAACCAGCTGAAGCTGTAAAATGATCATGACCTTTAGCAACCTCACCAGCATCACCACCACTAAGAAAAGCTGACAACCAACCAAGACCTCTGAGTGACCCCTTTCAGCAGACCCTTACTGGACCCAGCGGAGGGCTCTCTCCCGACCAATGAACGAAGGACTTGTTTCAATCAACCGCACGCAGATGAACAGGTGCATTCTGACTTCCCCGGGATATATACTTGCAATCCTGAACTCGCATAAATACCCTGTATAGATCCCTGACTTCCCCCTTCAGCAAGTGTGTTCCCTTTGCCTGGGACGTAGCTAAGGTCAGTGCTTGCGTTGTGCACACTAGTCACTGGTCTTCCATGTAGAATCCCAGCAGGAGGAGGAAGTGAGGGCACAGGCATCTGCCATCTCTGCCTTCCTCTTCGGTCCTCACTCTCCTCCTCTAACGGGCTTCTTTCTATGGGGCAGGAAGTCCCCCGCATCTTTGGTCCCAGGGGCTCTAAGCCGCATGACCTAGCATTGGTGGCAGATAGGCTGCAGGAAGAGAAACTGGCTTAATAACAAAGGTACATATTGAGTAGTTTTAAATTATTACTCCTATTCTATACCTATATCAAGAATGCAAATCGACAGTGTAATCTGTTAGGTAACATGATAGTCAAGATTTTACTTATAGGTTATATACTGATAATTTAAAAAAAAAAAAATAAGACACTTACCTAGTGCTTAGCATGTCCCAGGTACTTTTCTACAAGCTCAACTCATTTAATTCTTGCAATGTCCCTATGCGGTAGGTACTACTGTAATTATTATCCTCACGTTACAGATGAGAAGCACAGGACAGTAAGGGAAACTTGGCTAACGTCCCTAAGTAAACTGGGCATGAGCCAGGATTCAAGTCTGAGCAGTGGGACTCCTGTGGAACTCACCCACTACTACCATAGTATCACCACTGGGTGTCAGCATACCAACCAGGAGGAGGAGCAGTCTCTTAAGGAAGAAGGGGGCATGGCATTCACAGAGGGCCTTCTAGATGCAAAACACTTGTGCATGCATTTCCTAATTTAATGTGAGAGATGGATAAACTTTTTAGAAAGCAAAATATGTAGTTAATGGAGTGACTGCTTGCATCAGAGAAGCTTTTGTTCATATTTTCTTAACTGGGGAAAAAAAATTGGAGTAGACTTGGAAGTTAAGAGGATCAGTCCCTAGGTTCTTCGTTAACAAAGGGCTCCTTCCAGGTCTTCGCACCCTATCACACAATGAAACCATTGTTAGAAGAGACTTCAGGGAAGAGACCACTCACTGTGCCACGGATAAACATGTGCTATAAAATTATCTGGTTTAATCGCTACCAACATTAGAACTGTAGTACATTAGAGTACAAAACCTGTATGTACAATGACACATACAAAAAAAAATTCTTTTTGAGGAGCAATTTTTAGCAATCTGACAAACACCAAGAGTCGTTTCTATTTGGGGTTTGAAAGGGGGGAAAAATGGGAATTTCTAGGCTGTCCGCCTCTTCCCTCTGGCTCCAGTGACCCTCCGAACATCGATTTGCAAAGGCCTAAAGCAGGGAGGGAGGGACTAAGAATATCGCACATTCATTCCTCCTGTCAGGGAAGGGGGGAAGTTTTAGAAAATGTTTTCCACCCTTTATTAGACTAACGTTCCATCCATCTGCATCGATAGGTTAGGTAGTTACCATGACAATATGAAGCCTACAGCAATCTAACTTGATAGCCAGATGCCAGAATATGAAAAAATAGGACCGGCTAAGAAAGTGAGAGAAATATAATTAATCTGAACCACATAAAAATGTGCACAAAACCAGGACCAACAGAGAAACTGCTGAAATGCCACTGAAAAGGGAATTATGATGAGAATAATTAAGTTTTAGTATAAAAGCTTTTGCTAAGTAGAGTCATAAATTGGTCTATAACTGAGGAAGGAGTCAAATTAGTCCAGGATGTTGCTCTGAGTGTCCCCGGCCCCCAATACTTTCCTGCTGCAGAGCCCAGTGGTGTCCTCCGTCAATCCCTTAGGCCCTGAGAATGTGAAGCGGCCATCCGCAGTGCTGCCTCCATGCCCAGCTTTTCCATGTGATGAAGTCATTTCCATCGTGTGAAGCTGATCTTAAGGGACTGAACTGAGCTGTGTCCTGGTGTACCCTGTCCACTTGCCTTCTCCATACCCAGTGGAGGCAATAGTCTAGCACAACCTCCTGGGGGCCCCAACCCAGCAGCAGGGCTGGGAGATTTAAATGTTGTGCCCCAGGGAGACGGGCCTGGGATGGTTGGCTGGTCATCATGGCTGTGTTGGATAGCGACGCTGAGCTAGACGGCTTGGCCGGCTCAGGCTAGCAGCCGTGGGGAGCTGGAAGAGAACCAACATCGCACTGGATTAGAGCCCTGAGCACGATTCCTCCCAGGGCTGACTGGCTGGACTGAGCTAGGGCATCCTGAAAGTCTAGAACACTCCAGCTGCATTTGGCTTCCTAGTGTGATGTTCTGATTATTCACTTCCACCCAGCACCATAGCTCTTGACTATGGAAAAAGTGTCCTGGGCAGTTATGCTCAGTGGATAGAGCATCAGCCTGCAGACTAAAGGGTCTCAGGTTTGATTCTGGTCAAGGGCACATACCTGGATTGCAGGTTCCATCCCTGGCCCTAGTCTGGGCATGTACGGGAGGCAAACAATCGATGTGTTTCTCTCACATCCATGTTTCTCTATCTCTTTCTTTCCTTCTCCCTTCCACTCTCTCTAAAAATCAATAGAAAATAATATATCCTCAGGTGAGGATTAAAATAAATAAATAGAATAAATATGGCAAAAGAAATTTGATTTTATAAAGCAGGGAGGCCAAGTGACACATGAGAGCCATCAGTGTGCCCCAGGTCACTGAGAAGCAGGGAGTTTAGCTTCGTTCAAGGTTTGCAATGATCCCCTCACATCAGGACAGAGTGAGGGTGCAGGCACACTGCTGATACCAACACCAGTTGTGTCCCTGGAGTCTCAAGAGTTATGAAATGTCAGGAGCAGTGTTGATAATTTCAACACTGACTGACAGGTCCTTCTGTGTGCCAGGTCCTTCACATACATATATGCTCCTACTGAATCTTCACAACTACACAGTGAGGGACCTACCACTAACCCCATTTTACAGATGCAAAAACTGGGACTTGGAAAGGTTAAGTCATTGCTCAAGAACTCATGCATGGTATGTGGTAAACTAGGATTATAAACCCGGATCTCCATAATCCAAAACCTGTGCTAACCCCTGTCCCTCAGGACTTCCTTACCTGGGGGACCTGAGATGGATTGTAGAGAGGAACAGCCCCTTTCAAGGAGGGTGGGGGAAGCAGGGCACCAGGGTTGAAGGCCTCAGAGGAAACACCCTGTGACAGAAAATAACAGAAAATCCTATCAGTCACTGCCCCCCAGATTCAACTTTGGTCAAGAGATGCAGATGGGGCCTGCCCAGTGTGACTCAGTGGTTGAGCACCGATCTGTGACCCAGGTGGTCACAGCTGGATTCCAGGTAGGGGCACATTCCCTGGTTTTGGGCTCAACCCCCAGTGGGGGACATGAGGGAGGTAGCTGATTAATCATTCTCTCTCATCATTGATGTTTCTTTCTATCTCCCTCTCCTTTCCTCTCTGAAATCAATTTAAATTTTTTTTAAAATAAGAGAGAGAGATACAGATGGGAAGGGCTTCTTAATAAAACTCAGTGAATCTCGAGCAAAAAAGCATGGTTCAAGTGGGCACAGCCACCCCCTGGGTCTAGGTGGCAATGCAGAAGCTCGGGTGCAGCTGTCCCTGGAGCACATGAGAAGAAAGAGCCACAATAATGATAGCAGCATAAAAAATAATCTATTCTTTGAAAGGCCTGAAGTACTATAAGAGCACTCTAACCGGCCACAAGAAATAAAAATGCTCTCCTAGCAATCAGCATGAAATCACACCAGAGTTTATTACAGCCCTGGCCACGCACAATGGTGAGCTCCGGCTCTTACTGGGACAGGGAAAGTTCTATAGATTTCACCTATGGAAGCAGTTATGGGCTAAATCATACCCGCCAAAACTTCATATGTTGAAATCCAAATCCCAGTACTTCTGAAATATTTGGATACAGGGTCCTTAAGGGTGATTAAGGCAAATGATGTCATTATGGTGGGCCCTAGCCCAGCATGACCCATGTCCTTGTAAGAAGAGAAAATTTGGACACAGACACACACCGAGGGAAGACCATGGGAAGACATGAGGAGACGGGGATCATTTACAAGCCAAGGACAACGGCCTTGGGGCAAACCAACCCTGCCAACACCTTGATCTCCAATTTCCAGCCTCCAGAACCATAGGAAATAAAGTTCTGTAGTTTTGTTTAAGCTTCACAGTCTGTGGCCCCTTGTTGTGGCAACCCCAGCAAACTCACAGAGAAGTGTCCCCCACATTCCCCTGGAGTCGGGCCCCCACGCTGAAGGTTCAGTCCTCGCACACACAGGCATCTGGTGTGGCCCTGGGCCACAGCCATGGGCTGCTCACCTGGAGCCCGGACAAGCCTCCATTCCCAGTGACCTCAGCGGTTCCCCCACTGGACGCTGGTCCTTGGACTTCACCCCCACCTAGAAAGCAACGAGTCAGAGCTGTTTCCCCGGCTCAGCACTGAGGAGTCCCCACTCCCAGAAGGTACCTCAACCCTTGGACCATCGATGGCCCAGAGAACATGCAGTTGGCTGTACCTGTGCCCCTGGAGAAGGTGCCAGGGCCCGGCAGAGACGGGGGCTCTGGGAGAGGTGTCAGTGAGAGGCCGGAGCCAGCCTGAGTGGGAGAAGATGCTCTGGGGGTCTCCTGCTCAGTGGAGGAAGAAAGGAAGCTTTGGTGGTTAACAAGTCCGTGCGAACCTACTTGTATTCCTGCAGCGCCCACAGAGGAGCCTCCACCCACAACCTGCTGTGGGGTTCTCTGCTTATTAATAAATGCTTCATCTTAACTTCTCAGGCCTCCCATCATCTGCCTTGCCCCTCACAGGACCAATGTATTTCCCACCACCTCTGTCCCTTCACAAAAACCTCCGCCTCATCCAGCCTGGGGAGATCCCCTGCCAGCTCCAGCCCTCGGAAGGGCCCAGAAGAGGGTGCTTCCTTGTCCTCCCGCAGGTTACCTCTGAGTCGGGGCTGTCGGAGGAGTCTTCGTCCCCAGAGGGGGATGTGCTGTGGGTGGGTTTGGAGCGAAACCAGCTGAACCAGCCAAAGCCTGAGCTCTGGGGGGAAGGAAGGGGAAGTTAGATGGCCTGTAGGTGCTAGTCTCCCAATTCTCCCTGACTCTGAGATTAACCTGCCCCCAGGTGATGGTGGTGAGATGGGGGAGGGGACACAACCAGACCCCAGATGGCCCAGTGGGCTGGGAAGAGAAGACCCAGTCGCCCCGCCTGTGTGTCCTCTTCCCTGTCTCCTACCTTTTCTCTCCTTGCAGTGTCTGGGGAAGACTTTTTATCTGTCTCATCCGAGGACGATTCCTCCTCCTCCTTGGCTGAAACAGTGGAATTCTCGGAAATATTTTGAGCTCTGGAAATCAGTGGCACCTGGAGTTAAAGAAAATAAGCACTGACACATGTATAGCCCTCGACAGGGGCACCTTTACAGGGACTGCGTCACCTGACCTGACCTGCTCACTAAATCCATGCACACTGTGGGAACTCAGTATTTGTAAACGAATGAATGAATGGATGGATGAATGAATGATGGTGCTTTCAAACAATGGATTTTACCATACCAATATTAAAAATCATGCTTATGAACGACATGGAAAATCTCATTTTATAGCATTAAATAACAAATAGGAATTAAATGTTCATATTCATATGTTCTTAACCATTTAAAAACACATAGTTGAGAGGTGCATACATACACACCCATTTCTTTCAAAAGTATTGAAAGAAAATTACCAAAATATTTGACTTTGGGATTATGAGTGATATCTGTTTGATTCTTCATTTTTCAAGTTTTCTATCATTAATAATGTACTACTTTTTCAGTCGGAAAAAGTAAAAGTATAGACATTTTTAAGACCCATAGCCGATCACTCTTTGAGAAAGTTACATGATGTAACCCTCCCACCAGGCAAAGCCAGAGAGCCTCGTAAATGTGGAACCAGTGCCGCCCAGGGCTGGGGGAAGGGAGCATTCACTCAACCGCTACAGACAGAAAGATTCGTTAGACACGCTCACCTCCAAGACCTCACAGTCTCGCTGAGGACAAAAGGCACAGATGCCATAGACCCTTCTTGAAGTAAAGCAAGTTAGAAAAGAAAATAGAGAAATAGCCAGAGTCTTCCAGGATGGGGCAGGGGGTGGCATGTCTGATGTGACAGTAAGACTGTGTCAGAGGAATAGACCTGTGAGACCAAAACTACACAGGGCCCTGCTGCTCCCCCACCCCCACCCCCACCCCGGGGACACAGGCGGGTGGGACTGAGCATCAGAACAGCCTCCCCACATCTCGGGATCGGTGTAGGAGGAAAGAAGAAGAAATGAGGTGCCCGGGGAAGGGCGAGCAGGTGCCAGGCCGGCGAGGGAGTTTGCATGTGGCTAAGAAAGCAGGTGGCTGGAAACCTGATGCTTAGCGCGGCTTCGTCCTCTCACCTGTGGTTTGGAATCCACCTTTTGACCATCAGGATGCTGGAAGGTTCCTTGAGACACTGTGTTCTCTGCTGTGGCACAAAAAGAAACAAAACCGTGACTTGCGGCTGTGCCTCTTCCCTCCGTCCTGAGGCAGGTAATGGGGACAGTCGGCTTTCCCAACCTCCAAGCAGCTGGCGCTCTGAGCCCCCAAGCCAATCACAGGAAACGTGAGGTCCACTTGCTGGCCATCTCACCCAGCTGCCCAGGACACGCTGCTCACCCTTCCTCTACCCTGAACACCATGGTCGTTCCTTAGGAATCCTGGAAGTCAGGGCCACCTTGAGCTAGGACCCTGGGGTCCTCCCTGGCCCTTCCCTCCGTTTACGTGTCCTGTGTGGACAGGCCCTATCTCTGAGGGTCTAAGAGCTAATCCTCTAGCACAGTGGTTCTCAACCTGTGGGTCGCAACCCCTTTGGGGGTCGAACAACCCTTTCACAGGGGTCACCTAAGACCATCCTGCATATCAGATATTTACATTACGATTCATAACAGTAGCAACATTACAGTTATGAAGTAGCAACGAAAATAATTTTATGGTTGGGGGTCACCACAACATGAGGAACTGTATTAAAGGGTCGCGGCGTTAGGAAGGTTGAGAACCACTGCTCTAGCACGTCCCTGGCAACACTCAGCACCGCTCACCCACACTCAGCCCTGCTGTCCAAGGCCTAATGGGCCTAAGACGCTTGGGAAGAGGACGGGAGCACAGGTCTCTGCAGGCAGCGAGCTCTTGGCCTTAGTAGGACTTGACCCTCACTGTGGCTCAGGGTGCAGGTGGCACTTTCTTCCCTTCTCCACCTGCAGCCTCTCTCCTAGAAACTGTGAAGCATAGCGGGGAGGCTGCTGTTGGTTGTGCTATGCTTGTCCCAGGGGAGAGCTGAGCAGAAGGGAGAGAGCAATCTCCCCTGGCTGCATGCAGAGCACCAGCACCAGGGCTGACACACAGTAGGCCCTCCACCATGTGCACACCCATTCAGGTCTTTACCAGCTCCCCATTGGTCCCTGCCTCTCCCCATGTGCCTCCTCCCCTCCAGAACTCCACACCCCAGGCTGCCAGCTTAGCACAGGTCTTACCAGGGGGCGGGGGTGGCTGCTGGGTTTCTGCCCAGGGCCTTCCTCCAGGAGCCTCTGTCACTACTGTGCTGCCACCGATCCCTGGCAGACGGGCCTCAGGGACCGAGTAAAGAGGCACCGGGATCCCCATCTGTCCCAAATCTCCTCCTGCTGGGTAGGAGCCTGGCTGGAGGGGCAAGGGCTGCTGTGGGCTGGGCCAGGCGGGGCCCACTGGCTCCACTGGTGGCCACCGGGCAGAGGGGTCCCCAGTGACTTCTGAGTCACCTCGATGTCCCGAAAAATCCTGGTAGAAAGTGTTTCCTAAGAACACAGGGTGAAGAGAAAGAAAGACCTGTCACATTCACATGGACTGCACACCGGGCACCTTCCTTCCCATATCCTCTTTGGGAGGTGGTCATGGGGACAGGCCCCTTGCTGTGGCTACCACCAATGTGATGGCAAGTACAACCCAGCAGTTGTGATACCACTCCGTGCCTGCAACTGTGAGCTGGTAAAAGCATTTCCCTGACCACCTGTATGATCCCTGAGCCTTCCACCAGTGCTTGGGAGGGCAGAGGCTGCCATCTTATGTAAAGCCACATGTGGTTATGTTTGGATGAACGTTCTTCTTCAAGGATTTCCTAGTGGGCTTGGGTATGTAACACTTAGAAAGACGTCAGTTAAAATGCAAATCAAACCACAGAAACGATGGCTTTGCTCTTAAGGAAGTCGAGTGTTGGCCCTGCAAGGGCCCCTGGTGGGTTTGTTTTGATTCTGCCATTCTGCTGACTGGCCCACGGTCACGGGATGGGAGTGGGCGGCCGACCCACCTGCTCCAACAGCGGCTTCCAGCGGAAGCGGCCATTCAGAGACACCAGCCTGGCTCTCCTCCTTCACCTTCACAGGCTCTGTGACGTGGCAACACAGCCAAGAAACAGAAGCCCAGACCTGCCCTGCGGCCTCCCCTCACCCGTCCCTGAAGGGAGAGCTAAGGCGGGAAGTGGCCGGAAGTAAAGAGACGAGGCTCAGTCTGACTCCACAGTGGGGGGTAATTTGGGGAAAGGGCACGGAATTAATTGGGGGCAATAATGTCTGCAAACCCAAGACTCAGAGGCATCCTGAGGGGAAAGGAAGTATGTGCTGAAATGCTTTGAAACACATTTCAAATGCAGGTGCCAACCTACAGCTCAAAAATCCTAAGACGTCCCCAGCACTAACGTGAAATAGAGGTCATACGCCATCTCTGGCCTCAAGAAATGTATTCAGCTGGGGAGACTGTAGTAACAGAGCTGGAACGTTAGACAACAATGCAGTGTAACAAGTATCAAAACCTGGACGTTGGGCAGAAACTCTAACAGGGCGGGCACCTGGACGTGTCAGGATGACCCTGGCCACAGGAGCCGTGTGAGGAGGTGCCTGGGCCATCGAGTCAGACTGACACAGGCCGGGAGGACGCTCCAAGAAGGGAGAGAGGCTAACATGCGTTCAGTGATGTCTCTCCTAGACCAGTGATGGCGAACCTTTTGAGCTCGGCGTGTCAGCATTTTGAAAAACCCTAACTTAAGTCTGGTGCCGTGTCACATATAGAAATTTTTTGATATTTGCAACCATAGTAAAACAAAGACTTGTATTTTTGATATTTATTGTATATATTTAAATGCCATTTAACAAAGAAAAATCCACCAAAAAAATGAGTTCGCGTGTCACTTCTGACACGCGTGTCATAGGTTCGCCATCACTGTCCTATACCCAGGTCCCGAGAGTCAGCTTCTGACACACTGGGCTCATCAGTTTGGGTACCTGTTGCTCCTTGGGCTCCTGAAATGTCTGTGTGAGCAGAAGGAGGGTTCCCAGTGTCTGCCGATGCCTTTCGCTATTTGAAATAAAGGAAAAATCCTTTAAGCAACACAAAGAGAAACAAGAACAGGGAATAATGGTTTAAAAATTAAATAAAAAAGAAACCAGAGGGCATGACAAGGTGAGGGAACCTCAGCCAGCCAAATGCTGGGGGGTGGGGGAGGCTGCTGGTGGGGGAGGTCAGGAGGGCGGGGCTGGTGGGGGAGGAGCTGATGGGGGAGGTCAGAAGGGTAGGCCTCAGCCCTTCTCATCTCCCAGCTCTGCCAGAGCAGGCAGGGGCCAGGGGACCAGACCACCAGGGCCCAGGAAGGGGCCAGTGCAGGAACCCAATGCCCCAGTATGTGCAGCACGTGGGGGGAGGCCGGTCGCGCCTTAAAAATTCCACCTGTCCTTTCTAAGAGGCAGTGGGAGAAGGAAGATGGAGGAAGCCCTGTTCCAATTATTGTCACAATTACTACCAGCAGCTTTTGCAATTGTCAGAACCAAAAGGAAAGGCCTGGAAGTCTTTTAAGCAAATGCCCTACATTACATGAAAGCGATGCAGGTCCACTCTGATCCATTGTTCCTAACGGAGATGGAAGCCTTGATCGTCACAAAAGGTATTTTCTGGGACCACAGAGAGGGAGGCGGGAATGACTTTGAAAAGGGCCCCACTGTCTCACAAGCAAACACAGGAAAATGTTTCGGCTCAGCAAAGGGGCTTCAGGATGATGGGGGACCCCGCAGCCCTCCATGGAGTCAGTGCCCTGCACCCTCTGTGTCCAGAGGGAAACAAAGGGCCCCGCACACTGACCCGCTCCCGCCTCACTCACCTCCAGCTCCTGGTGCCGCTTCCGGAGGCGCACGAGCCAGTCTGGCTCCAGGTCCCTCCCTCCGCGGCGCCTCTCGAGCACCAGCGGATCCGACATCTTCAGTTTCTCTGCTAGCTGCGCCAGGTGTCCAGATGGTAGGGGCAGAGGGAAAGGGACGAGAGGGGAACCGAGGGAGAGAAGTAACGGGGATGGAAAGAAAATGGGGAAAGACGCAGTAAGGGAAGAGCAGAAAGTGCCTTAACTCACTTGTAAATGAGATTATAAAGTGTAATTGAGAGAGAGCAAACCCAGCAGATATCTTCCCAAAACGGCAACATACATAAGCAATGAGCCCATCTTGGAGTTAAATACTAAGTGAAACATGAGGAGAAACGATGACTGGGCTGTAGGTCCTACAAAGCTGTCTGCTTCGTACAAGTGCTTCTCAAACTCCCGTGCTCATGCTCTGACTGGGTGGCCCCACTGTTTGGAGCATCACCCTGTACACCAAAAGCTTGGGGGTTCGATCCCCAATCAGGGCACGTACCCAGGCAGGGCACATACGATTGGCAACAGATTGATGTTTCTCTCTCACATCAATGTCTCTCTCTCTCTCTCTCTCATTTAAAAAAAAATTCCTAGGACCACCTGGGACCTTGTTAAAATGCTAATTCTGATGCCAGAACTACGTGGGGCCTGAGGTTCTGCATCCCTAACAAGCTCCCAGGTGACCCCTGCAGCGGGTCGGGGGACTACTTTGTGTTGCAAGACTGTATTCCATTATTAAGTTTTAAAACTTTCCTCCTCCTTCATTCTGGGTCCCCGAGCTCCCTATCAACGTCATCCTATGGCAGGAATCTCAGAGTAAGGAGCTCAGCACCACCGATTTCACTGGTTACGAAAGGAACCCAACACTTGGGCCTCGTCTAAAGCAAAGCAAATATTGACGGTAGGCTGCCTTTTTCCTCTCCAGCTAATGCATTTTTCTTCAATTAATTGGAACAACTATTTGCCTGATTGTTTTCTTCCCTAGGAACTAAAAGTGGATATGTTTTGTTTTTTTTTAACGATATCCCACAGGTGATAAAGTATTCCATGCATTTAAAAGCATTTTAATAAGGGGCATTTCCTGTTTTAATCACTAAAGTATATTCTCTAAGCTCAGCTTTTATAATTAGAATGTTTCACCTTCACGTGCATTCTCGCTGTACCAGAGAAGCAGATGCAAGAATGAATGAGTTGCATTGCATACGCCTGGTTCCCCGTCCCCCCCATCCCAAGTCATCCCCTCTTCCCCGCCCACAGCATCCTTCTTTGCACAATGTCAGGCCTCTGCTTGTCACATCTGGGCATGCATGCATGGTCAAAGACAACCTCGGGCTCCTATTTTACAGCAGGCTCGGAGGCGATGAAAGGTGGAGTCTAAGCCGCTTGACAATAGCTTGCTCTGAACGCTGCAGATAAAACAGCTGCAGAGAACCCTTTGAGGAGCTCACCTTGATGAGTTCCCCCAACAGCACAGGGTGACTGCTCTCTCCCTGGCTAAGGAGGGCCGTGCCCACAGCTTCACAGTAATGCAAGGCCTGGGACGCAAGGCCGTAATCTGCCAGCCGGGAAGCATAAAGGAGTTTATATACCTGCAAAGAGGAACAGGGCCAATGAATTCTCTACCCAGGCAGGGATGGAAAGAAAGAAATGAAGAAAAGACTTCTTGGAAGTCAACTGCCTGCCAGCTTCCTCAAACTCTGGCATCTAACTATCAAAGAGGGCCCGTGCCATGGGGGCTTTCTGTCTGCGCATGGGCCCAAGTCCAAGCGCAGCCTGCAGCTCCCTAGACAAAGGGATGAAGTCATATCCACTCAGTCTCCCCAGGCCCTGGTCACCATGGAAATGCAGCCCACATCTCTGGAGAGCCTAGTGTGCATGGGGCACAGGACCAGGTGCCAGGGGGACATACACCAGAAGAAAAGACGGCTCTGTTGCAGGGGCTTAACGCCAGACAAACGTAGGTTCGCATTCACAGAAACGTGCAACAGGGCGAGATGGAGCATGAGGGCTTGGGAAACAGACAGGCCCAAGTTCACATCCCAGCTCCATGCTGGGTGTGGAACACTGGCTACCCACCTCTTTGTGCCTCTACCCATTGGTTGTCATAACGATTAAATGAGATAATCCATGTGAAGTACTTAGAACAAATGATGTGCAAGAGATGTGAGCCCATAACTCTGAACCTCAGTTTCCTCTTTGTGAAATGGGAGTCATCACACCGGCCTCACGGGATTAAAAATAACACATGAGAAGCATAATAGCCCAGTGCCAGGCATGTAGAACGCATTCGCCAGAACTGGCTAATCTCATTACTATCAGCCCCGCAATAACAAGAGGCGGCTGATTCAAGACGGGAACAAGAGACTAGAGGCCTGCACCCCAAGGAGCTGGACAAGGCGAGTCTGTGGGAAAACTCTGAAAGAAGATACTAATAGGGCCATTTTTCTGTCTATAGTAATGCATTCATTTTGCAGGTTTTGTTTTGTGTTCCATGTGGTGGGGTGTGTATGTGTGTGTCACCTCTGGGCCACTCGAGCCGGCACTGAAGGAGGCTTTATGAATTGAAAGCGACAGCAGGGCATCAAGCAGAGAAGTTGAGAAGAGAGGTTAGAGCCTGTGAAGGACAGCGCCACCCGCACAGCTGAATTCCTGGGGGGAAGAAAGGAGGGTGGGGGCCAAGGACGGAACAGGGAGGAATTTGCAGAGTTAGAGCAGGAGGAGTGGAGACAGGTCAGAAAAGCAGGCCAGCAGGAGAGGGAGCAGAGCCTGCAGCCCCTGACCCCCACCCCCCGAGTGGGACTTCATGCCCACCCCCTACAGGATGGCTGTGGGCCCAGGACAAGGGAGAGAGCGCTGCGCAGCCAGGACCCAGGCAGGGTTCTCACCTGCCAGGAGCCAGGCGGGAGCCTCCAGCAGAGGCCACTGCCGCCTTTTGTTTCATATCTTAAAATGCAGACATTTAGGGGACCTAGAAAGAAACCCTAATCCTTCCCACACCCAAGCTAAGGAGGAAAAGGCGGTAGGTGACTTAGCCCAGCTAGTATATACCAAAGAGCAGAGCTAAAGACCCAGCTGCCCACAGCCGCTGCCACAGCCCCGGGGCTGGCCTGTGGGGTCAGTTACCTGGAAAGAAGGGATGAAGGACTGGGGGCGGCCCAGCATCTGGCAGTACTCGAAGATTTCTGTCCTCTGGATGGCCTCAGTGGTTGCAAATTTCAAAAACTCTTGACTAAAACCAGGGAATAATAATAAAAGAGATTGAGGTGGAGAGCGGGGGAGGAATTTGAATCCTAGTAGATGGCTGAACACCAGCTGCACCCATCCCGGCAGGGTGTCTGTCCTGGCCAGGAAAGAGAGCCAGGCCTCCAGAGTGAAGGCTTTTTCTCCTCCGTTCCAGGGGAAGGAACAGAACACTGCCCTGCACCAGCCCTTGGGAAGGGATGGGGTGCACATTGTGGGGAGGAGCGGGGGGGGGGGGGCCGATGCCCTCATTGCTAGAGGGTCCCTAAGGCAGGCTGCTCTCCCTCCCAGCAGGGCGGGGCACTGCGCCCTCCTCTGGAACATGCTGAGAGCTCACCTGGGTGCCCTGCAAGCCTAGGATGTGCACCTGTCACAGGCCACTCCCAGCCTGAGCCATGGGGCACCAAAGGGGGAGCCATGTGACACTCCGGGAGCACCGAACAGAGACGCATGGCAGAGAATGGGGAGACTGCTGAGCCAAAACCCAGTGACGGTCCCTACGCCGGGTGTTCACTCAGCCAGGGAGGAAGCCGGCTGGGTGACTGTGACCAGAGACCCTAGTGCCACAAATCTGTCCCTCAACAGCTCACCAGTCTCCAGGGCCACCCCTGGGTTTACCACTCTATCTCCGGCATTTCCTGGTATAATACAAATATAGCAGGGAGACAGATGAACCCGCACACTCTTACTGTCACGTTTGGCACAGATGGGCTTCTCTGACAAGCCAACCATGTGCTATCAGAGACCAGGGCCTTGAGAGAGCAGGCAATAAGACGGGTGTTTCTACAGTTGTAGGCAGTTTGGCGCAGCACAGTCTGGATTCCAAGTCCAACTTGACCCCCCACCAGCTGTGCTGTCTTAGACAAGTTGCTTAACCTCTCTGTGCCTTGGTTTCCCTCCTCTATAAAGTGAAGATGAAAAATAGCGTTGTCTTTAGAGGGTGCATTTGTAACGATGGAAGGAAATAATGCAAATAAATTAACTGGAACAAATAAATATCCTGGTAAGAGCTCAGGACACCTTAATTGTTACCAGGCAGGAGAAAAGAGGTCCAGAACGTGGAGGACTGCTAGGGAGCAAACTGGCCTTTCTGTTCTTTTACTCATTGCCTAGGCGAGGGGCTTATTAAAGTCCTCCTATGTGAAAAGCCTGATGTTGCAGCCAACAGAGAACAAGGGAAAGGTGGAACTTCGAGTAGCTTGTGCACCAAATCAGTAGCTTGTGCGCCAAGTCAGGGGTGTAGGAATTAAACATCAACTTCTTCCACTTTCCAGTTTTGCCTAGGGCCGCCTAACACAGCTGCAAGGTGCTCACATTAACATTTTATAAGAAACAGTCCCTGGTCGTGGACCCAGGGCGCCACCACGTGGCCAGCGGTGCACAATACAACACAAGGGCACCCGTTCCCACCAAAGGCCACCTGGTGGTGTGAGGCGGCACCCACTGGGCATCTCCTTGCCCAGACCCGTGCAGAAACAACCCCAGAGGAGGGGACCGGTGGTAGCTGAAATTCACACAAGAAAATGGAGGCACGAAACCCACCAAGGGCTAAATCAATGCCCCAGAAAACATCCTTCCTGTTTCCTTTGCCCCAGAAGATCACATACCTGTGGCTGCTGCCCAGCAGGGCCAGATGGTCCGTCTTCACCGTGTAGTAGCCGAAGGGCACGTGAGCCATGAGGTAGCAGAAGTGAGCTGCCTCCACCAGCCCCTTCCCAGCTGTAGGAGGAGGAAAAGCCCCAGTCATGAACACGCCCCCGTGCGCACCCATCACGGGTGGGATGGAGACGTGAAGAGTGGCTCAGAGGCCAGAGGGAGACGCCTCACAGACCCCAAACCCCACTCAGTCCTCTCCCACCACATTTATGGCTTCAGACATTATATTGTAATTTCTTCAGCCACAATAAGGCACTGTTTCACGTGCCCTCCTAATGGATTTTTTATTAGGAATTTTCTAAATATTTTTGTCCTTCCTGAGGGTGAAAAGCAAGTTGACATGCCTACATCTGAGCTGGAACAGTTCCATTGGAAGGGACAGTTTTTAAATCAGGCTTCCTGGGAGCACTAATGCAGTCCCTGCTAAAATCAAACAATACCAGCCTTTTCTCGGTGCTCATAAAAATCACATTAATACCAAATTGTTCCCAGGTTTAAAATGTTCTACTACCTCAAAACTGAGTTAATTCAAGTAGGTAAAGTACCCAGCAAGGCACCTGGCACCCAAGAAGAAATCAACAAATGTCAGGTTCCCTTTGTGCCCAGCTGTGGAGTGACCTGCCATCTGGGTTGGCACAACCTTACACAAAGCTATTTTACGTTTCACAGAGTTCCACAGAGAGAACCATGATTTCTCCATGTCCTGCCCCTTGACCAAATCTGAGAGCCACTGATCCGAAACGTTCAATAGTCCTTTAGTGTTTATAAGGCCACATTCACAGGAAGAGGATAGAAATAAAGACTCCACAATTACCCAGGGTGGTTCAGGCACAAACAGAATTTCCTGTCTGGTTGAGCTGGATCACTGCAGGACTAGGGGCTACAGGAGGCCACATGCCCCATGTCCTAGCTCATCCTCAGGGGATTCTGACCAGAGATAGAAGGTCCCCTGCTGAGAGGAGCCTCCACAGCTGCAGAACTTCTAGGAAACAGAGAAGCCAGAAGGACACTCCTTTCCCGGAAGTTTCTGTCCCCAAAACACTGAGGCTCCTGGGTCAAAGGCAAGTTGAGGTATACACTTGGACCCGACACAGAAGCCAAGAACCCAAGCATAGGTGTGCTGGGCCTGGGGCCACCCTAGAGGAGAGGAGGAGGACGGTGCCGACGCCTGCTTACCCAGGGTGTCCCCCATGGTGACGATCGCACGTTGGTGCAGCTCCGGGTCCCCACCCTGATTCGACAGAATCACAGCCAAGTGAGGCCTCCAGTCTCCCCACTGCTTGTCCCCACAACACTGAAAAGCAGCGGGAAAAAAATGAAGGTTTATTGAATAAAGTAGCACTGGCCAGAATGGGGGTAAAGGAGGTTGCTGTTTACGTCCTGGTTTGGAAGAGTTCAGGGAACACCCACCACACCGCCTGCAATACTGCCATTCGTTGATTTCAAGTTCCCCTTTTAAAGAGCAAAACCCTGAGGAGGACGGATAGGCAGACAGGCAGGTGCACATACATACAGACGGACAGGCCTGGGGATAAGATAGATAAACGACTTTATTAATCACTAATTTTCAAACTTCTTCCTGGTGTCCCCAGGCCCCAATAGCTAGGGACAACATGAAAATAGAACCCTGATGCTTCCGTGGGAGAAGGAAGACCAAACACCCTGGGCTCACGCGGAGAAGAGCCCACATCAACCTGGTAGAAGTCAGGGGAGCACTGGGCTCCTTAATGCCTTACAAAGAGCGAATGCTTTCTGGTTTTAGAGCCCTCTCACAGACGTCACCTTATTTAATCTTCGCAACCACCCCGTGAAGTCTAATTTCCATCCGCACTTGGAGAATAAAAACCCAAGCCAAGCGGCCCAGCCCCATGCATTCCCAGTTGAGGGCTGTGCCCCTCCCGCTCCGGTGACCATGCAGGAGCAGATCTCCACCGGGAGGCAGTAAAGTATAAACGAAGATGTGGAAGTAGGACGAAGCCCCACACAAACGGTGCTTTTCCTACCCTCTGGCCCCGGGCCACCCTTCTCCTGGATGAAGGGGAATTTCAGGGCAGGAAACATCAATGAAGAAACAGCATCATGTCAAAGAAATAACACGGGCCCAGGATTCAACTGGACTCCCGCCTCTTACTAGTTGTATGACCTTGAACAAGTTTCTCCATGTGATTAAGCCTTTGTTTCCTCATCTCTTTAACGGAGAGCATCATTTCTACCTAAGAGGGTTACTGTTGATACTAAAATAAGATGGTGAGGTACAGTACATAGCATAGTGCTTTACACTTGGTTTTCACTTTATAAATTACATGTAGGTGTACACACACACACACACACACACACACACCCCAAAGAAAAGAGGTGCTCTGCTGACCAGCCTAACTTCCAACTGTTACAGAGAGCGGGTGGAGCAGGAGACTGACAGTAATAGCTAAGATGCGGAGGTCAAAACAATTCACAATTACTTGGTCTTTGTAATTATCCCAAGGAACAAAAGAAGCTTTATCCGACTCCATTTCATAGTTACTGTTTATCTGGGCAATGCAGTGTGAATGAGAATGAAGATAATAATGAGTCACAATCCTAATAGCAGTTCTCACTTATTACACTCCGACCACGAGCCATGCCCCGTGCTAAGCATTCCTCCTAGGGGCAACCCCATGCTTTGGGTGCTATTATATCCCCATCTTCACATGTGAGCCAGGCTCTTCCTTGCTGGAACTAAAGAAACCAACCAACAAACAAAAAAGCCTTTGCTAAAAATAACAAAAACTTAGAAGTCATTTTTCTGTCTCCTCCACAGTGATTTTTAAAAGTCACTGTAAAATAGATCTATGGGGAGAGAGAGAGAGAGAGAGAGAGAGAGAGAGAGAGAGAGAGAGAGAGCGCACAAATACTTATTAACTAACTTCAATAAGTCAAGCATGATGGTTGATGTGTTCAGATATTCTCTCTCCTTTAATTTTCACAATAACTCTATTGGTTAGGCACCAAAATGCCCACAAACATGAGAAGCTGAGGCTCTGAGATTAAGGAGCAAGGTCAAGTTCACACGGCAGGACGGGGCAGAGGCTAGGTTACCCTGTGCGAGAAGCCCACGCCTGTGCTTTCCGGGGTCGTGCCTTTCCCCACTACACCGCTCCTCACAAGTAACTAAGGTCTAGTTTTCGCTGGATGCTGTGAGGCCAGGAAACTCTCCAACACTGAGATCAAACACGGCACTGCCACATCACCTCTGACTCCTCGGTTTTCTCACCTAAAAGTAGGGAACATGGAGCTAACTCTGCCATTGCCCCGAGCCAAGGGGCCGTACGCTGACTGCATCATTTCCTGCGTTTTATGACATGATGCAATCTCACTGCAGAGCGCAGGCATTCGGCTGAATTGGGAGGCGGACTCTGTGTTCCAGTGTAACCAGTTGGCTTCATGATGGGGCACATAAGTCATCATTTCCCTTTCCTTTGTGTGGAGTTGTGCACAAGCAATAAGAAAAAGCAAAAGTGTGAGGTCCATTTTCATCAAAGCTAGGTGTCGGCAGAAACGCCAACCTCAAAATACAAGCAAAGGCTGCCAAGTGATGGCGAGTCAACAGAGGTGCATTCAGGAGGAAGCAGGCAGAACACAGGGGGAGAGAATCCCAGCCACCTCCACGGGCTGAGGAGCAGCGAAGGCCACACAGACATTCACAGGAAATGCCAGGAGATGCGGGCAGCGCCAGGTGCCTGGAATAGGACCCTCGTCCCTCCCAGCACAAACCTCCCACAAATAACTGGGCCAGGGAAGACTCGACTCCTGTAAAGGAACAAGCACGGAGTCTGCACAAACATGCTGCAAAGATAAAGGGCGAGAAGTAACAGAAAAAATAAATGGAAGGTCAAAAGCACATGCACCAGAAAAAAATAAAATGTTATAAAACAAAGAATTGTCACCAAATATTTCCTCATGAATTTAAGTAAAATAAAGTGATGAAACAACTTCTGAGAAGCAAGGGCCTAAAGCTCAGTTCTGAGTGCTCAGGAACAGGTGGTGGGAACAGGAGATAACATGTGACCTGCAGAGCTCAGGGAGGAAGTGGGAGAAAAAACAAAGAAATGAGGACCAAAATGAAAAGAACATAAAAACTAAAAGACACTGATGAAAAACACAATCAGGGATGTGCAGGGTAGAAATTAAAGGAGAAATAAAAAAGAAATGAAACAAATAATAAAGTTTTTTAAAGAGAAAATTATATACATGGGTGGGCAAAAATAGGTTTACAGTGTTTCGTGTAGAAAAAAACATATAGGCTATGATTATTACAATAGCTTTATAAACTGTTTTTCATATTCATAAATGTAAACCTATTTTTGCCCATCCCTGTATACAATTCACATATCTATAGTTCACCTATATATGAAATGTGTATAAATGGAGTTCCTGAAAAGAAAATCAAAATAACAGAACAAAACAAATACTGAAGGATATAATTCAAGAAAACTTTTCTGAACTGTAAGATAAGAATTCACACAGTAAAAGAGCATCCTGCATCCCAAGAAAAAAAAACCTGACCGAGACTATCAACCAAGATGTATCCTCATTACTGGACTTCAAAGATAAGGAAGGAGTAGCTGGAGCAAAAAGACCTCGTCTCTGAACATGGGGAAAACCATCCGGCTGGCCTCAGATGTCACCTGAGCCATATCCAACTCTAGACAATGTGTAAATTCTGAGTCCAGCTTTGAAGATCAAGGTGCAGTGGAGGAAAAGGAAAGTAGCCTACAGAAGCCTAGAGGACCGTCTCTTGTTATTCACAACAGAGCAGGCAGCTGTGTTAGTGTGGACTGGCAAGGTCTTTGGAATCAGACAGACCTGGGCCCATCCTGACTCCACTGCTCACTAGCTCTGTGACTGTGGGTCCTCTCACACTTCTGTACCTTAGTTTTCACGTCTGCAAAACAGGGACAGTCATCCCTACCTCCACGCATTAAACGACATAATACGCATCAGAGTGCTTAGCACATGGCAAGTGATTAACAAGCAATTATCTTGATTTTTAATCTTCAAAGCCATCCCCTGTTCCAGAGCAGCCCCCACCCCCTAAACCCTCGGGATGCTGGGGTGGTAAAGGGTACCGTGGCTGCCTGTGGGATCCTCCCCGACATGAGCTGGAAGAGGGTCTGCAGTGGGTCGTTGAGCGCCAGTGTGCTTGTGAAACTGTGGAGAGAGGTGACCATCAGCGGTGACCAAGCCAAGAGAGCCTTCAACCCGTGGCCCATGAGGCAAAGGCCTCAGATATATTTCTATTTGATTGTAGCAGCTTCTTTTGGAACAAGAGTTCCTCTGTTTTTCTGCTGTGCTTTTGTCATGCCCACTTTTGCGGGGAGGGCAGGAGGGTGGGAGACAGAATCTTCACTCCACCACACACCCCAGGCAGGTCCCATTGTTGGGGGAGATTGTCTGCACGTTGGCACTGACACCCTAACTCTTGAGCAACCATTTCTGTAGGCCTCTCTCCATCATGGAGATGACCCGCCAATGTTTCAAAGGGTCCCAGAGAGCCCTAGCAGTTAACCTGCACCTCTTCCCTGTGGGCCCCTCCTTCCCTGCCCCCTCCCCCCCCCCCCCCACCGCAGCAGCCCTTCTCCATGCCCAGCCCACCGCTAGCCTGGGTCTGTAGAGCTTTTACTAAGCACTGAATAGCCATTTTCAGTAACCAGAGAGGCGTAGAACAGAGACCAGCAACGGTCATGATGACAAACCAAAGGATGTGCTTAACAGCCATGTGATAAGCTCCACAGCTGAGCTGAGATTTAAGCATACTCAGAAAGAGAGCTTTCCCTCAATTCACCGGGCACCATGGAAAATCAATGGCCCGAGGCAAAAATCTGCAGCTGAGAGGATGCTACTATGGGGGGAGGTGGGACACTGGTTTCCAAAACCCGGAGGAGCACCCCCAGAGCAATGACTTATTTAACAGCGCCCTTGCCTCGCGGGCTCAGAGCACATGTCGCAATGGAGCATTGGTGCTCTCCACCAGGCCAGCCCCTGAACAGAACGGGGTGCAGTGGGGGTACCAGGCCCTGGGAAGCCTGAGGGTTGGTGTAAGAAAGGGACTCCAGGGAGGCCATCGTGCAGAACAGGCTCCCGGGAGTGGGGCAGCCTGAGCCACAGACTGAACTTAGAATGTCCATCTTCTTAGCCAACCCTCTGCTCTACAGGATGCCCGGCCGATTTAAATAAAGTGAAACTAGGAGGCGAGCTTCACAGCTTGAACCAACACTAGAAAATGAACACTGTCAGCTGCCGTCCGTCTCACCGTCTGACCTAAGCCTGCTTCTCCTGGGAGGGTCCCTGCCACAGATCTATCCCATGGAGGCAAGGCAGGCCCTGGTCTACAGAAACCTTCCCCAGCACCCCGACACCTACCACCTCCAGTGACCCTGATGCTCTTTTGCTGTTTCATCCGCTTTATTCCAAACTGCTGGCTGTGTACTCACACCTCCATTCCTATCTCATCCTGGTTTGGGCATTTGTCCTGGTCCACCTGGCACCCAGATCTTGGTGTGCCGGCATGATTTCTAACTAACGTATCGCTTCAGTCTTGTCAACTCCCACCACCCTAGATGAAGACTTCCTGATCTAATTCCCAGTCCCATAACCCCCTTTCCTACCACAGCTCGTGGTCCTGCTACCTGTATCCCTACCTTCTCCTTAGCACCCATATCTCCATTGCAAGACTAAGCAGCAGTACTTAGTACTAATCCTCAGTCCTAAGACTCTGTCCGTTAACCTCACATGATCATTTGTATTCCCTCACTGATGGAACTATCTAGAACAGCCCCTCCCAAGGAAGAAGGCTACTGCAATATAGAAACCCACTTACTCTGTGGAAATCCTGTCTCTGGGAAATATTACTAAAATGTTTTATTCAGCTTGGCAGGTAGAATGTGTCTGCATCCAGATTAGGAGGATCTGGGGAAGAGAAATGCTACATCCAGCTCAGAAAATAGAAACTGGAAAGATGCTTGGAGTGGGGGGCTTCTCAATGCATCTTGGATTTCTCCTCACTGTCCCCTGCATTTGGTGGAAGGGGTCACTCTGCTCCACTGGTCTCCACTGCAATTCCCCAGCTCACCCACTCATGACCCAGTTGTAAGTCCTGGGGTCCATCTTGCTGGACAGGAACAGAGCATGGCCCCACAAGTGGTTCTTCATGGCCCACTCCAAGGCTTCCTGAAAACAAAGCATCACACTCAATGTTTCTTGCTCCCCTTCCCCCGTGCTTAGGTACCACTGCCCCCTGAGCATGAAGACTCCTAGAGCCTCATATGGGAAATGGGCTTTAACTGGCACGTATTTCTCAGCTGGCCCTTTCTCCAGCCTCCACTTTGTCAAAATTCATCATGCTGCTTCATTAGCTCCCCCTCAAACACAGCTTCCAGTTAGCCTTATGGCAAGCAAAAGTTACATAATACTTGTATGAACCTGAGCACCAAAAAATGAGAAGTAGCTCCCCCTCAGGACTGAGTCTCAAAATAAAACAAGTAGCAAGATGGTACAGTCGCCCTCTATATCTGCAGGGGTTCCACGCCCCCAGATTCAACCAACCTCATACATTGCTGGTAGAGCACACTGGTACAACCTCTAACAAGGCGATTTGTCATTATCTCCCAAAATTACAAACCATCTACCCTTTGACCCAACACCTCCACATCTAGAAATTTGTCACACCTATACTATCTATGCCAGGTAAATGGCAATGGGTAGTCATTGAGGCATTGTTTGTATCAGCAAAAGACTGGAAAGAATCTAAATGTCAATCTATAAGGGTTTAATTACTTATAATTTGTCTACAGAGACCTGTGCAGCCATAAGACATAATGAGGAAGATATGTCTATAGTATAAGGAGCAGGGGTCAACAAAATGTAGCTAAATTCAACCCACAAGCTAAGAATCGTTTTTGCATTTTTTAAATGAGCGGGGGTGGAAATAAAAGAACAATATTTCATTACACATGAAAATTATATATAGGTCAAATGTCTATGTCCATTAAGTTTCACTGGAGCACAACCACGCCCACTCATTTACATACCACCTGTGGCTGCTTTCACGGGAGAGCAGAAGAGGAGGGGGCACCAGTTCCCCATTATATCTCTTTTTATCTTTGGATTTTTTTCAAATAAAATTGATTCACATTGATTTTAGTCATGTATTCAAATATTTAAGTTAATTTAAGACTTTTGTAAAATGTGAGTTTGACTCCAAAATTAAACAAGGCACAAAAATAGGTAAATATGTGCGGTGATGGATTTGTCACTTACTAGTAACTCGATGGGGGGAATCCTTTCACAACGTATACCTATATCAAATCACTGCAATGTACACTTTAAATAGCTTACCATTTTATTTATCAAATATAGCTCAATAACAATGTAAAGAAAGAATGTAAAAATAACGTCGTCTAATTTACATATCAAAAAAATAAGCAAGACAGCACTTCATCTGCTGAAGTAAAGTGTTCCATATTGGCAGGCACACCTCAGATACAGCTGGTGGGGGTACAGCTTGTAAACAAACTTTCCAGAAACTAATTTAGTATATACGTGAAGAACTTTTAAAAAGTGCATGCCCTTCAACCCAGTAATTTCACTTCTAGAAATTTATCCTAAAAAGACTTACGTGACGTGTGCAAATTTTATAATTTATAATGGGTGACAAAATAGTGGATAGCCCACATAGTTGACAATAGTGGATTGGGTAAATAAAATATGATGCCCTCATATGATGGAATATTGTCCAACCAGTTTTTTTTTTTTTACTCATGTAAAAAATTTTTATTTTTTATTGAATTTATTGGAGTGACATTGGTTTCAGGTGTAAATTTCTATAACACATCCTCTGTATATTTTATGGTGTGCTCACCACCCCAAGTCAAGTCTCCTTCCATCACCATTTATCCTCCTTATACTCTCTTCTACCTCCTCCCACTCTATCCAACCATTTTTTAAATGGTACATTTTCATGCCATGAGAGCATTTACTGTAGAAAAAAAAAGAAATAATTGTATATATAATTTTATTTTGAATATATATGCATAGAAAAAATGCTAGAAGTAAATATATCAAAACGATAACTGGTGCTACCTTTTAATGGTAGGGTTATGGGTGTTTTTATTTTCTTCTTTGCACCTTCCTGAACTCCAGTGCTATGAAATGAATATATATATATTCCTCATCTAATTGGAGGGCTGAGTGGTGGGGAGACAGTGGTTACTTTTGTAAACCAAGCCTGCCGGGGCGCACTTGCCTTCTTCCTTCCGTAGTAGAGCAGCTTGGTGAATTTCTCCACGATCTGCGCAGGTGTCTCCACACTTGGGGGAATCTCCCCAGTGAGCAGGTTTGGGGTCCCTGAGCTGGGCGCTGGCCAGTTGTCATCGGTCAGGTTGATGAGGTTGGCCACCGGGGGCTGCCTCTTGTACTTCTCCAGCTTCTTGCGGTCTTGCATCAGCAGCTCCGCAATGTCAGACCCCACCATGGACTGCAAGGCAAAGAGGGTCATCCTGAGAGAGAGAGAATCCTCTGCGTCCTCACGGGGGCAGGCCAGGCACGGAAGGGCCTGCCTTCTTCCTGGGGAGGCCAGCACTGGATTGCTGTGTCTCAAACTCAGGTGCCACAAAGGTTATCAGAAATGTGCACACTCTCGTAGGAGCGTCATCTGGCTGGTGCAGTAACCCAACACCTTCACCACAACCCAGGCCACTAGAGAAGGGCAAAGTGAAGGTCAGTGCTGGCCAACTGGCACTGACATCTGAGCAATCAGGTTGCTTCTTTACTATTAACTTTTCTTATTATTATGTCATAAGCCAAATCATACTTATCCCAGGAAGGCTTACATTTCAATACAGCCTGCTCCTGCCCACCCATCAGAGAGGTAATACTCACCCCATTCTGTCGACAAAGGAGAACCAACAGTTGCCATAGTAGAGCTGCGTCTCTGCTCCCTGGTGTCTCGGATTGGCGGCTCTGAGCTGCTTTCTGCTGGCAAAAGGTCATGATGTCCACCTTGTGGACGTCTTCCCTATGGAGAGATTTCAGGGAGCGGAGGGTGAGCGGGCAGACTCTTCCCCATGCAGGACCGTGGGCTCCTCCCATAGTGTGCGGGTGCTGGATGGCCCCAACAAGCCAGGACCAGGACAGGGATAACAAGTCCATAGCTACAGGACAGTTGTTTCTTTGTGGAACAGGAAGAAACTTCAGAGATTCTCGCATATACTCTCTCCATTTTACAGATGAGGAGACTGAGGCCCCGGGACCTGAAATACCTGACTTGGGTAGCAGGCAAGAGCACTCTTTGGGGTCAGACAACCCTGGACTTAAATCTAGCTTGCCACATCTCAGCTTACAAAACTTTCTTATCTCCTCTGAGCCTCAGCTTTTCCCCAAGATCAGAATAATTTTAAAAATCTACCTCCATACAAAAAAGAAATTAGCAAGCTATGTGGCATATATTAAGTGCTCAATAAACAAGCAGTATTATTTGCTTAAGACTATTCAATAAAATCAACACCCAGTTGGGACCAGTATCCTAGTGTCCAAAATACCCAACTCGGTGCTCTACCCACATCTGTATACCTGAGTGTAAGAAATAGACACACTCAGTTTTGCTTAAAAGAACTGTCAAAATACTAGATGGGGATTTTCTTAGAGGGGGAGATCCAGGTTAAGAATACATTTATATAATGGTGTTGCTATTTAAAGGGCTTCCATGTGCATTAATCTCACTTGTGTCTCACAGCCACTGCCTGGAGTGGGCAGAGCCAGTGTTACGTCATGTCTTAAAGGGAAAACTAAGGCCAGAGAGAGCTAAATGACTTGTCTGCCATGGTATATCTAGTTAGGAGGATGCCTAGGGCCGGGCCCCAGATGTTCTCACATCAGTCAGGACACGCCACAGCAAAAGGCACTGTGAATATTTATCAGAATGGACTGGGCATTTAAAAGCAGTTCTGGCTCAATCCTGCAGAGGGCAGACTTGCACACCATCCAGGAATTCATGCAGACCAAGTTCCCTCTCCAGAAAAAGCAAGCCTTTTCCCCCACTATGATCCACTTGTCTGTGAGGTCCCAGGCAGTGCTGCACTTCCCCACTAATGTCTATTAGGAACACGGAACGCTAAAACCTCCTCCCATGTCACCTCTGCAAAATCTGATTTCAGATTTTTAAACCTTCACATTAATTGTTCTCCCCCCACCCCACCCGCCCCAACTATTAAATTGCTTCTCAAAAAGGCTCAGGCTACATTAGGCTCTGTCTGGTAGCACAGAAAATTCTACTCCAGTGGGGACAGACATTTTCTTTCAAAGAAGCCAAGAACAAATCCCCCCCAAATCCTATTCTTGGCAGGAAGACTGTGTAGGTCTCAAAAGCCTTTACTCAGCTGTTCATATGGTAATTTACCTGATCAGGGGTCCTGAGAAAGTTCTCATCTCTTCTTGTTCTTCAGAATCATTAAGAATAACCTGGAACAAAAATTAGATTTGCTCTTCAAGACAGTGTCCATCCAATGCCCCGTATCAGAACCCGAGGCTGTGGTCCCAAAGTGCAGCTCATGCCTCGTGGAGAAAGTGAGTTCTCCAGTGGCTGAAATTGAGCCAATAGCATCTCAGGGAAAACGTAAGTCCAGCATCACTTCTTCCAGAGAAGCTCCCCGCCCAGTTCCCCACAAGAGCCCCCTGTTCCAGGAGATGCCCAGGCTCAGGCAAAGGGAAGCAGGGAGCCTTCTGGGGACAAAGACTCTTATTTACCTCCATGCTGTGCAGTTCAACAAGGGCCGTTTGCCCGTCACTGGGAGAGCTGGGACACACACACACCAGCTGACCTCCTGGCCCAAAACTCGCAGGCACATGGGGGATGTAGAACTTCATGGGTGCCTTGGGATCAGCTGCCGAGTCAGCCGCTGACCAACAGACACAGGTGGACACTGTTAGCATGGCTGCCACTGCTTTTCTTTACTTAGCAGGATGCCACAAACACATTTCTGTCTAAATTCCACCGGGGACCCAGATAAGATTCTGGGTGGGCTACAGAAGTAGAAGCAGATTTAAGCCCCTGGGAATATGTCAGAGCATAATGCAAGGATGTTATGGTGGGTCCAAATGGTGATAACGCACAAGGCCCAGACTCTTGGCAATGGAGAGAGGCCGGGACTAGACAAGTCAGCCACATCCAGACAAAGCAACGATGCTTTGTGGCCTGCCCTTGCTTTACCAAACTGACTCCAGTCCTCACTTCCTTCACCTGCTACTTAAAAGCACCAAGGCGTGCCCGGTGGTGGCTAGGGGCAGGGTTCCCTTCCAAGAATCCGCTATGATGCAATGTCCAGTAAAGAGAAAAGGTGGGAAACGGAGCCACGTTGGCCTCTCTGCCCAGGAGAACTAGGTAAGCAAATGAGGCGAACAATGCTCTTCTCTTGGAAACCAGGGTAAGGTGTCTTTCCAAGAAATTTGCCCTCCAGCCCTCTTCCCGTCAGACTCAATCAACTCCTTTGATCACTTCAGCACCCACCAGCCTGCACTGGTCTCCAAACTGTTGAAGCCGTGGGGACATAAGGCTCGGAGGCATCTGCCATGTACTGACTGAGCTCATAGCCACTGGAGCTGAGGCCAGACTCGTGCTGCTGGAGAAGGTTGGACTCGTGGGGCAGTGGTGGCTGGAAGTGAAAAACAAAGAAAACACGTACACAGGAAGAATCAGAAACAGTTTCTGAGAGATGGTCCTCCCAGGTATTCCAAACTTTCGAATAAATACAATGAATGTGAATGTGTTGAAAGGACAGGGATGGATGATTCGATTGACAGGTGTTTGCTAAGGGAAGCATAGGCCCCAGTGGAAAGAGTGCAGGCCTTGGGCCCAGGAGGGGCCAGGAGGCCACGAATCAAATCCCAGCTTTGTCAATACCGAGCTGCTATGACCTAGTGACAAGTGGCTTGGGCTCTCTGAGCTGGGTACCCTCATCTATAACATAGATAATCATAGCTGCCCTGCATAGTTCACGTACTTAATCATGCGTTCATTCCCCAGCTGTTTAATGAGCACCTACTATGCTCTAGGCACCGTGCTTTCCCTGGAGATACAGGCCCACAAAAAATTCATGGAACTTACCTCCTGGGAGGATGCAAATAAAGCACTGGATGCAAAAGCTCTTTGTACACGGTAAAGTGTGTATGTGTGTGGCTGCTTTCATGACAGCATGTGCCCTGCCCTACTGAGCATTAGGTACACAGAAGAAACTGTTCTCAAAAACCATACAAATCCAATCAGGGAAACAAAATCTATACAAGACTGTCAAAAATTAAAAGCTGGTCACCATAGTGCTTTTGCATCTTTTCCATAAACCTAAAATTTTTCCAAAATAAATGTTTATTTTTAAAAAATTTGAGAGCTCCATTTTATGGCCCAGGTGATATATACAGTAAGATTTTAGAAGACAGAGACGGTCTCCTAAAAAGTCAAGACAGCCCAGCTGGCATGGCTCAGTGGTTGAGCGTTGACCTATGAACCAGGAGATCAAGGTTCGATTCCTGGTCAAGGCACATGCCCGGGTTGCAGGCTCCATCCCCAGTGTGGGGCATGCAGGAGGCAGCCGGTCAATGATTTTCTCTCATCATTGACGTTTCTATCTCTCTCTCACTCTCCTTTCCTCTCTGAAATCAATAAATATATATTTTAAAATAATGCTTTGTAAAATAAATAAATAAATAAAATTAAACGTCAAGACAGGCTTCAAGCTCTGCTTTTCAGCCCTGAATTAAAAGATTCCAGCAACTTCTCACTTCCTGGGTGAACCAAAGTGCTGGCAGCCTCTTCTCTGTTTCCCAGCACCTCAGAGTGAGCTGCGTGACATTTCCTGATTCAGTCAATTTGACAAAAATGCAAAAGGGCCAGATCAGGATCCCAGGCCCTTCAGATTGAAACAGGAAAATGGGGAAAAGAGGAGGGATGAGTGGAGACTCTGCCAAGGAGGGAAGAATTGGACCACTCAGTCTGCTGGCCACTGGAGAGCCCACCCCCAGGGCCCTGCCTGCCACTGCTGACAATGTAGTTGGGAGGCACTGTCACAGGCCACCAGCCCCCATGTCACTTCAAGTTACCTTATGCTTCTGGGCCCCAGTTAGCACACTCTCCGGAAGCAGGTCCCCAGGCCACTCCTGTCCAGAGTTGGAAGCAGGGCTGTCTCTATAAGGGTTCCCACTCTGAGATCTGCAGCAAAATGACAGGAGAGGTGAGACGGGTCCTGGGCAAGCCAGCAAGGCTGAGCTGCTCTCTGCTGGAGGTGGTTCTGTTGTCGAGTGTGGACAGTTGTCAGGTCAGGTCGGCCTGTGTGCCGCAGAGAGAAGCACTGTCCTTCCATTTACCACCTCAATCTGTTAATACCAGGAAAAGGGGGCTCCAGGGCTCCCCAGTGCAGTTACTAGACGCTGCCCCGAACCCTGCAGAGAAGCGTGGTCCCTGCTGCCTGACATCTGGAATGACTTAAATCAGAGCAGTCGGATTCATGTGTTCCAGGGTAAAGGTGCCAGGCCAAGGGCACCAGGACAGGTACTAGTACAAAAGGCTGTTCCCGTCCCCTGCTTGCCTGATCCCAAAAGATGTCCCATTCTTAGGGCACAGGAGTAGGCAGAAGAGAAGCGTCCCAGCCCCAGACAGGACCCAATCACGAGACCAACATAGAACACAGGGCCTGCTTTCTGATGGACCTCAAGAAACAGGACTCAGACTAGCCCAGGTTTGAGAACCACATCTCTGAGTTAAGAATCTCTCCTCCCAGGGTTCCTGTTCACCGCTGGCCCGGGCCATCCTGGGCTACACCTCCATCCCCGAGAACAAAACTCCCACATCCCCACAACAGAAGCGGACGACAGGCTGCCTGAGATGAGGGCCCAGCACCACACGCTATAAGATTTCCTAACAGAGTTTGAGTTTGGCTGAATCATGTTGACCTGGCCTCTCCTTTCACACTTACTGGAACTGGGTCTCACTGTTTGTTCCAAATGGACTCTTCTGGTTTTCATGATGATATTCATTGAGGTACTTTTGATCTCGATAGTCTTCATGCCGGACATAAGGACTCGCCTGCCTTGGCACTGCACCCTCAGAAAAAAAATAAATAAAGCAGGTCACTTCCTGTTTGTGAAAGTTCCAAAAACACACTTGCAAGCTGTGAAGTTGAGTTACTGGAGCACAGTAGGTACAAAACACATTCGCCAAAATGAATAAAATTGGTGAGAGCTAATGATGAGATGCCCCTCAGTCCTCCCTGAACCAATTAGCACGGCCCTATACAACCGTACAATGGTGATGATCATGTGTGAGTGTGTGTGTGTGTGTGTGTGAGAGTGTGTGTGTGTGTGTGTGTGTGTGTGTGTGTGTGTTCAATGTTGAAACAGATTTCTCTCTGCTAGCAGCCAGTGCTATGCAAGCACTGCCCTGATAGCATATACCTAAAGCCTTACTATTGTATAGGGTATAAATTCCTAATGGTGCATATCTGCACTCTCAGGGTAAATGGTGGTCAGACTCATTGCAGCCCAGTCACACACTTGAGGACGTCACTGATACTTGGTCAGAGACTATAATCTTGGCTATAATGAGAAGTAGAAGAAAACATGTGGATGAAATGCAAACTACCCATAATATTAGCAGCATAAAGATAGTTTCAGTACTATCATCTACATGTACCAAGAAAATGACTGCTTTTTGTCCCTTCTCCTCGAGACAGCAAGCAGTAGTGTCTTTGCCGTGACCTCATCTGGCCAAGAAAGAGGTAGGCAGGGCGGGAGTTCTTTCTACCTCAGTAGAGCAGGTGCCCAAGGTGAGGTTCTGAGCATGGCTCCCTTGGCCTCTGCCCCGCCTATTGACCAGCTGCACTACCCCAAAGACTTCTGGGAGGTTATTCCATACCTCTTTCTTCTGGTTGCTGCTGTGGGTGCCCATGGTAGTAATAACTTCCATACGGATATTCTTCCCTTACAGAAGAGTGATACCTCTGGTATGGATCATCAATGCCTGGCCTAAAATAGCACAGTGAAGGCCAGTCATTTCAAGGATGAATGCGGTAAAGAGAGAAACCAATGGGAGACTGGACAAACTAAACAACTTCAGAGGACAGAATTGTGACCCTGGTCTAGTACCTGCTTAAAAGGCACAGTTAATTCTAGATCCCATACACAGAAAATCCAGGCCCAAAGCAGGAGTAAGAGCTTTGATTCAGAACAAAGCTGGGATCCTTATAGCAAAGTGTCTCATTCTTCTTCCCCATGATCTCTCTTACTCTTCAAGTACCTACATCCAACCACATAAGATATTGTCTTAGAAAGCACTGCCCTGATAGTATCCTAGAAAACCACTTCCAGAGATGACCAATAGGCCATTGTAATTCCCATGCATATTACAGATGGAAATGAGATGAAAAGGTCAGCTTGGACTACCTTAAATCTGATTGCCTGTGTCCTTAACATACCTTCCCTTGAGGATTCAACAATACAGAAAGACTGGGGAAAGGAATGTCAGGTTGTTAGTATTTTCATCAATTAACAATTCTTTAGCATTTCACAGGGGCAAAATTCTTTAAAATAGTTGTCATAATTTCAATCCTGAATCTGTGGGCAGATAAATACCACCCCACCTCGAAAAGCCAAAGTGGACACAGGTGGCTTCCAATATTCCATAAAACATTGCGTCCAGTGCTCTCAGTTAGAACCCAGAAGTAGGAATTCTAGATTCTCCAACCTAGAATCACCTCACCGAGACCCCTTCCTTCTGAACGTGGAGCCTGCAACCTTACATCTGCTCTCTCTGAGATTGATTTTTCTTTTAAGTTCCCATCCATTCATTCAATGCGTTTTCTTTTTTCTGGATGCCTACCACATTTTAGATACTGTTCTAGGTGCTAGGGCTCTTGTTGATGCTGGTGGTGTCATACTAACCCTGCATCAGAGTGGTTCAAAGATGAGGAGGAAGTTTTTATAGGGATCCCTAGGAGAGGCTGTTCCATCGTCTACATATATTTACAGTATTGCCTTTTTGTAATCCTGGAATAGAGGGTTTCATCTGCTCTCTTTAATTTCACCATTCTCTCATTCCTCCTATCCTCTCCCCGGCCCCCAACACTCAATCAGATCCTGATGGCTTCTTTAAGAAGTCCCACCAGGGGATACAGAAAGGGGAACTATTCTTTTCAGTCAATTTGAGAGAGCAAAGGGTTTAGCCAAATCAATGTAGTAGGGTGGAGGAGGAAAAAGAAAAAAAAAAGAGAGGAGAAATAAAAGGAAAAGGAAGAAGGACAAGAACAATCTGTTCATAAGCACTCAGGAGGGTTGGGTCAATTCCAAGCTCTAAATCCATACCTTGAATACAAGTGAGGGTGATAAGCCCCTTCGTAATAGTCCCCCCCGGCCACAGGCTGAGGCCATTCCCCAGGCCTGGGTACGTAATGAGGCTGCTGCTGGTCTGCCTTGGGGTCCTGCTGTGGCTGGGGGCTCCCTCGGATGTCTTGCCATTGATGGAACCTCTCTCCCTTGTGCCAAGAGTGAGGAACAGGTCGATGATATCCATCTCTCCGAAGACCTCGGTCTGGACCCTGGGATGGGGCTGGGGGCCTCCCCCGGGGCTGCAGCGGCTGCTGGGGAATCCAGGGTTCCATCCCTGACCTTCTGAATGTCTCTCTTTTTTTAGTCAGTTGTGTAGTTATTTTATCTTCCTGCAGACAAAACAAAAAGACCCCAAAATTATCATTACTTTAGGTTTATATCCAAACATGATGGTTGATTGCGTTTTATTAAAAACGCACTTATGGTCCTCAAAATCTTCTATCTAAAACAAACCACATGGCTACTGATACAGAAATATCTGGAGGAAAATCTCAAACAGATATATGAAATAAACAACAGATTAGACAACTATATGGTTGTTGCTTTAAAAATTAAGAAGTGTAATTAGTTGGAGCAATAATAGATGTGGGAGGCATGAGAGGCAGAACAGTAATAGGTGAAGCGCCAAAACCCAAGTATTCCAATTAAATAAATGTCCATTTATTCCACCAGCAAATATTTATTCAACATTTACTATGGGGCTCCTAAGCTATCATGGAAATAGAGTGGGCTTAGATTTAGACCAGAGGTCAAATCCTAACTCTGCCACTTATTAGCTAGTTAATTAGTTCAAGCCTCAATTTCCTTATCCATAAAATGGGGATCATAATGACTAGCTTGCAGGGTTACTGTCAGAATTAGAGATAACTTATGAAATGCCCAGTTCACTATCTGGTCTATGGTAATTGTTCAATAAATAGTAGTTAGTGTTGGAGATAAAGGTTGGGGTAGTGAGGGTAGCTGAAGGCATTTCCTAAACAAAAAGAAGCTGAAATTGACCTCAAGAGACATCTTCTCTGAATCCTTAAATTCACCTTTAGAACTCAGCCCCAAACAAGGCCATGCCGGCCTCTCCTCCAGGGGACCCACCAAGACAAAGGTTTGGGATTGCTTCCATGACCACCTGGAGAGCCATGTCGTGGTGATCCTCCAGGCTGGAGACTTTAAAACCTGGAAGTCTCCCCAGAATCAAACTGATTCTCCCCACTTATTCTTCAAAATGGGAAAAGGCTCCAAGGACAGACTGCCTTCCCAGCTCCTCGGCCCAAGTCACAGGGGACTGCCCCCATCCAGCTGCCCCCCAAAGGAAGAGCTCACCCCGGACCTCGCAGCTGCTCAGGGATCCCCTTGTGTTGGGAGAATTCGTTAGCTCGGTCAGACCCTGTTTTTTCTCTGTTGGGGACAGTTTTCAGCGGAAATATTCTGATGGAAGCCACTTCACTTGCTCCCACTCCTGACGCTCCCTGCTAAAACAAAAATCCTTATCTGAACAAAGGTCAAAGGGTATGTGTGGAAATCAACATGTCACTGCTCAAATGCCACGGAGCCAGGGTCCACCGCGATGAGCCGAGGGCTGTAAACAGACCAGCCCAGAAGAGCAAGGCGCAGAAGTGCCTTCCACTCCGAGATCAACCCCCGCTCGGGGTAACTAGCACCCTTTTGCCCAGGTTAGCCCACTTTCCTGAAAAAAATGCAGGCTTTTTCCAGCAAATTCCAGCAGAGGCCAAATGCTCCAGACACAGTGAAAGCGTGTGTGGGTCTTTCCTGAAGGCCCGAGGCACTCAGTACCATTTGGACACATGTAAGAAAGTCTCTGTCACCCTGTCCCCAGATATTTCACTGGGCAGCCTTCCCTGACTGCAAAGGCACAACACCCAATCTCTTCGCCAAAATCCTGTCCTTTTGTTGCCAAGAGAGATCAACTCCAGTAAGTCAGACCTCAGGTTATAATTAAGTACAGCAAGCCAAAGGCAACTAAGATTCTCAGAATGAAGACGTTCCATCCACAGTGACAAGTCACACTTGCGAGCTCACCTCCATGACCCTCCCTGGCCCCAGTGAGGGCAATGTTGCCTCTGCTAATCTGACAGCCCAGCAAGCACAGGTAAGAGAGAGGACACAAGTGAGCTAGGTCCCCACACACCTGCTCTGACGCCTTGCCACCTTCCTTCAGCGCGGCTCCGGGAACCTGGCCCAAGGATGTCTCCGCTCCTCGTGGAGACTGCCAAAGTCCAGGTGCCACATCTACCAAGACTCACCTGGCCTTCCAATCTACAGCCAGTCAGTTACCTTTGCAACTGCCGGGCCTCCATGGAGCTGATTCACTGGGGCAAAGTACAGCCCAGCCACCGCATGTGGGACAGGCCTGACCTGGCGTATTTGCTCAGAGCCCTGTCGGAGGCTGATGCTTCTGTTTGCCTGGTCGTGGGCTGAGCTAGGTTCACTCACATGTGAAAGCATCCAAACCCCACAGCAAACAAGGAACAGAGGCACCGGGGAGAGGAAACCCAGAAAGCCCGCAGGCAGCCTGGCCCGGCCAGAAGAGCACAGCCTTGGGGCGCTGACTTGGGGCTCTGCCACTGGCTGGCTCCATGACCGAACCTCTCTGAGTCTCAGTTTCATCTTCTGTAAAAGGGGAATAGCAATACTTAGCTTATGAGGGTCACAATGAGGAGGAAGTGCTGGTAAAATGGCACACGTATAAATAAATACGCTCTATATATCAGTATTATTTTTTCCTTTTCAGAAAGGTACTCATGGGCGGGTTGTAAATACCTGGTCTCTCTGGTGGGGGTTTTTCTCATTCATGTTTCTCTCCACCGGGTTCTGTTTGTGTATCAAGTGTGTTATCTAAAGGAAGGTAAATCTAAATGCCCAATGTTGAACTGAAGACACTGAAAAGTTTTCTATTACAATAAGAAAATAATTTCTTGCATTTACAAAATACATTTTTCAGCATTATTAAGATAATCACAGGTAGCTCGTGTCTACTTTTGAATTAATATTTTAAAATGCAGAAAGTCATGTCATATACCTTAAACTTACACAACGTTATATGTCAATTATATCTCAATAAATTGGGGGAGGGGAATAAAATTCAGCATTTGCCCAAAAAGTTTATTCTTTCTCTCAACAAACACTTACTTAGTCTCTCTAAGATACCAGGATTTGACACATGTAAATATGAAGGACAGAGTCCTTGCCTTCAAAAAGTTTGGAGCAAAATAGCCCCCCATGTTGCTACTAGTCCAGGGAAGACCACATGTGGGTCCCGTGATCAGATACACTACTGTACCTGAACTAAAGGTCACTATAAGGATATAGAGGATATAGTTGTCTCATCCCCTCACCTGACTCCTAGAGTCTGACCATAGAATGTAGACTTCTCTGACCGACCATGGACATGGTTTCTTGCACCACTGGGGTCAGAGAATTCTGCCCTGAAGTTTGGCTCATTGCTGGGCGCACTGACATTTTTAATCTTCCTGGGAAGAGGTGCTGGAGAAGGACACACAGCAACAGCAGGAAGCAGAACATGGTTAATTATGACACGGACTCAGATATACAATTATGTGTTCTGACATATCACAATAAGATTCATGAAAACCTGCTGAGACTCTTTTGGCTTATAACAGGATGTTAGTCCTGCCCCAAAACACCGACTATATTACTGGGAGGCTAACTCTGCAACTTCACTTTATTGATGATAAAACTAAGATCCAGAGAAGTGAAGTGATTTACCCAAAACCACCACCAAGCTGACCAGAAGCTCAGTCAGGGTTATACTGGTGTGAGGGAGTCACCTTGCCCTGGCCTTACAAGGGCTGATTATGACTTATGCAGGAATTGTGTGAGCCAGTAAAGAAGCCGGTAGTAACTGGACATCCACCGTGGTGGGAGTATTTACATAGCAACTGTCCAACGCTGTAAAGCAAGGTGGTGGCGGCTGTGTCCAGAGAGCAGTTTACCAGCATACAGATTACAATCCCAAACTCCTAGGTTCCTGACTCAGCATACTTTCAAACTCAAACTCCCGAATTGCCATTCCACTGCCAGCCTTCGTTGCACATCTCTGCTTTAGTTATTCCAAATCTAGCTCAGTTATTCCAAATGCTCTTTTTGTGACATCCCAAAGCATCTCTAGTTATCTAAAGAGTTATTGTGAAACTCCTCAAACACTCACTAACCAAATCAATTTTAATTAGCTTTAATTATGGAATAGACATATGGCATACAACAGTTATATGGGTCATGGAACGAAATAGTCGTGGTGGGATCGCACCAGCCCAAAAGCTTTGGGATTTATCGGTCTCTGCCTTGCCCAGCCCACATATCTAGTTACAAAATCTCTCAACCTGGCAGTTCAATTCCTCCTGGTTTCTAACCAAATTTACCCAGCTTGACAAATACATTAGCAGCTCGTCCCCACCAGGAGGTGGGCTAAAATTAGTCTTGCCACCCACACCCTGCTTGCGGTGCCTTTACATGATCCACGGGCTCCCTCGTGCTGGAACAGCGACAGTCTTCACATTCTCCCTTCCCCAAGCAACCCATCCTCCTGCCTGATTCCTGCTCTGCATTTCAACCATGAGCCAGAACTGGAGCCCTGGTCACTTGCTAATGTATGTGAACTTCCTTTCCGGGTCCCTGCGTCCTTTCCAAATGCCAGACCACCGATGAGGATCTTGCTTCAAATAGGAGTGACTACCCTGGTTTGACATCTGTCTAACAAAAGTGTCCTCTCTGCTAATAACACTGCTAATCTCTACTCACCAGACCAGGGTGAGCATTTGGTAAGAGGCTGGAGAAACGTTAGGAAGGTTTGGGTGGGCTAGGGGAGTGGGCTTTCCCTAGGAACATGTCCTCAAGGTAACAAGTGGGCTACCAGTTAGATGGTCTTGAAACTCATGGGGATTTGAACATCTGAGCTTCATTCCATGCTATACCCAAAGCGCCTGGCACAGTGCCTGACATATGACCAGAACTCAATAAAGATTTTATTTGTGAATGAATAAACACCTTAAATGTTTAGCAGCAACAACCTAATTGTATAACTCTATCCAGCAGTTCTCACATCCTGAATATAGAGTGAAACTTTGATAGGAAATTTCTGGAAAAAGTAAAAGAGAATGCTGATGCAGTGAGTTAAGGGGACTGAGCAGAGATTCACCAAAGTGATGCCCTCTGGGGCATAAATGAGACAAAATCGGAATTAATAACCTGCATACCTTGTTAAGCTACATACATCTAAAAGACACACTCCAATCGGACAGTGAAAGAAAAATATTAAATAAAAAAAATCTTAGCTAAAATGGGAATGACTGAATAATGTCCACACTGCATTTCCAACAACAGCTGACACTCTGAGGCTCTTTTTAGTCAGCAAGTGGCTCGTATCTCTGACTCCAAGGATGAATCAAGGGGTAAAGGTTGAGTGCAGAGCAGCCTCTTGACCCCAGCAAGCCACCTGGACCAGCCTCGGAGGCGGAGCTCGGGGCTCCGGCCAGTCATTGGCCTCCAAGGCTGTGACCCCTTCCTTCAGGGAAGCTGGGTGTCAGACAACATGCACAGCAGCGTGTGCCACTCAGCAGTCCAATTATCAGCAAGGACATGTGCCAGGAAAACATGGTCTGAGGGCCAGAGACAATTAGCCTGGCACGGGCACCATAAGCTACCAGTGCCAGTCCTGGGGCTGTCACTCCTAGCACAACCTCAGGAGTGAAGGCTTGGGCACAATTCAGGTTTCCTATAGGACTGAGGAATCCTGTGGATGAGCCCGGACAAAAAGGCTCCTTGAAATGCCACCTACCCGGCTGCCTGCAAACCTGCCCTCCTTGAACCCACCTCTGCTGCCAAGAGCCAGAGAAGCCATTCTTCCTTATCAGCTCTGGGCTGGCTGAGGTGGCCCCGCCTCTCTCACTTAACCCTTCCCACTTTATCGCTGCCCCTGAACCAGGATGCGTGGAGTGGCAGATGGATGCTGCTGTGACTTCTGACCTCACATCAAGCTCCGCGGCACAGCTGACTCACACACCCACTAGATGAAATAAAGGGCTGTAATGTGCTTGGAGAGTTCTCCGAGCTCCCAAGGTCAACAGGACACATTCCCCAGAGGAGCAGTACCACTTGGTAGCCCTGGAACAAGGCTGCCTGAGTGTGAGTCTCAACCCCATTCCCTGCGTGAACTTGGGGAAGTTATTCTATATCTCCTATTCTTCTTCTGTACGGTGGGGCTAATAATAGAACCTACCTCACAGAGTTATTATGAGAGAATAATTAGATTAAAAACCTACAAAGCTCTTAGTGTATAGTAAGTGCTTAATAAATGTTAACTGTTCTCCTCTCCCTGGAAATGCTCTAATGTGCGTAGGAAGCCTTCTGCACAACTTATCAGGAAAGGATAAATTGAGTGCCCACGACTGCAGTGACATCCACACTTTTCCTTTACACTTGACCCAGTGCCCCCATTGAGCTACAAGATCAGGGGGACGTGGAGAATCTATGTCACACCGCTACACAGGAACCAAAGAAGCGCTTGAGGTGAGAACATCAGAATTAGAAACCTCAAGAAAGTGCAGCCCACAGCTTCTCACACTCGAGTACTTAGAGCCCCAGGGACAATGCACGATGCCACAGGACAAACACCAGTTTTATCGTACCAGCAACTCCAGAATATGTTTTTTAAATTTAAATAAACATAAGTATTGTATTATTGGATAGTATGGAATAAAGTTCAAATTTGTGTTAATTTTTACAATGAAGTATGAGACGTCAAAAAAATTTCATATTTGCAATGGGACATACACACACACGTTCATACACACACACACACACACACACACACACACACTCATATACACATACCCTGGACCTCCAGAGTCGCTCCAGCCACTTGGTGGAAATGCTTAAGAAACTCATTCTGAACAAGAGCAGACATTCAGACCTATAACGGATGAGCTGGAAGGAACCCATCCCCGCAGGTGACTCAGTGTCTGAGGCAGGGAGCCTCAGGCCCTCGCTCGCACACAGCTTCCACTGACAGCCCCGCAGCCCTCCAAGCTCTCCATGCCGGATAAGAATCCTCTCTTATGTAAGACTCTCTCAGTTACTGGCACAGGGAGTGTTTGTTCTCCAGTGGAGGTGCGTCCTCAGGCTCCTTATAGAAACACACCCCAGAATTTTAGAGTCAAGATGCTCCTCCTGATGTACCACACACATGCATGACTCAAACTTTCATCTGAACTCTGAGTAGAAGAAAACCTGCCACTCAACAGCCTTCGCACTCCAGGTTTCATAGCCCTGTCTCTGTTTCCTTATAAAATATCCTTCTCTCAGTCACTTTCAGGCATAGCAAAGGCCTGGAGGAAAGGAAATAGGAATCGAAGCCTGGATTTAGTTAGTTTTAACGGTGCCATTTCCCAGCCATATGCCTTTGGGGGGAACATAATTCAATCTCAGCCCTGGCCGGGTAGCTCAGTTGGTTAGAGCGTCGCCCCGATACACCAAGGTTGCAGGTTCCATCCCCGGTCAGGGCACATACAAGAACCAACCAATGAATGCATGAATAAGTGGAACAGCAAGTCAATGTTTCTCCTCTCCTCTCCCCTCCCCTCCTTTCCCTCCCCTCCCCTCCATTCTTGTTTGTTCTCTCTCTCTTTCTCTCTTTCTCTCTCTCTCTCTCTCTCTCTCTCTCTCTCTCTCTCTCTCCTTTCCTTTCTCACTGAAATGAAATCTCTATGAACTCCAGTTCCCTTATCTTTACAGTTAAGTCTAAGAAGTACCTCACAGGGCCTCATGAATGTGTCAGAAAAAAACAAACACCAAAAGGCCTGATAAATAGAAGAGTGGACTTTCAATAAGTCTTTCTTTCACTCTTCCAGGTTCCGTACATTCTGTTAAAGGTGTGACAAGCTAACCTGTATACAAACCTCATGAGCGTGTACAGTACAGTGTTCAAAAGCTCAGGTTTTGTAGTCGGAGGTGGATTTGGTCCCAATGCCTCCACTGACTAGCTGTGAGACCTCAAGGTTAAGGTTAGGTAACCTCTCAGGCCAACTGTCTTCATCTGTTAACTAATTGTATAATAATAGATATACATTATTGTGGTGGGATAAATGAGACAATTATTCATGGCGTACAGTAGGTGCTCAATTAATATTTGATGAAGAGATGAATGCATGATCTAGGAAATGTACTCTGTGCCTGCACAGAGTAAGTGTTCAAGATATAGATGTTGTCGGGGTTGTTTAGAAGAACAAAGCAGAATTATCTTTTAGGCTGATCAGGGTATTTGTCCTTATTTAGCATTTATAATAGTTCATATTCAATTTTTACCTTTATTATTAGCTTAGAATCTAATCTGAGGTTATTTTAAATTTTCATTCTGCCCTCTCATCATAATAATCCATTTCACCAGAATCGTCTTCCCAGAGGTACCCATCCTTGGCTCATTGGTTTTACTACCCAGTGGCATCAGTAGAGAGTTTGTCCATTTAGGGGCAATAAAAGAGAAACCAGAAAGAATAAGAGATCTCACGAAACTCACAGTGTCATTATCAGTCATTGCGTGGAGGAAAATCAACCACAGGACTTCTAGTCAAAGCTCTGTCCAGAAAAGCATACTGGTAATAGCCACGTGATCTATTTAAGGCAAAAAGGCAATTATTTAAAAATCCATTCCATGCAAATACCTGGAGTGTAAATAGGTTCACTCAACTTGATATATACAGAGGTGGGCAAAATAGGTTTACGGTTGTAATATAATAATCTATAATAATAAAAGTGTAATATGCAAATCGACTGAATGGCCAAACAACGGAATGAATGTCCGGACAACTGTCCGGATGACTGTCCGGACGACCTACCAGACAAAGCTGGGGCTGCAAAGGCCTACTCTTGCATGAATTTCGTGCATTGGGCCTCTAGTTAATAAATAATAATACAAGAATAAACTTTGTGTTTCATGCACAACTTTGAACCTACTTTTGCCCACCCCCCTCTATGTAATCAGGAACATAAGAACTCAAAGATCAATATCTGTATGTTCTTGTCCCGCTTGTTAGTCAATGAAGCACATACTTTGCTGTTCCATGGACAGAAATAGCCCACGTGCGTGCACAGCGTGAGCGCATACACGCATTTCAGTGGTACTCACACCCTGTTCTCCCGGTCTGGAATAAGTGACTGCAGATACAGTTACGATCCCCAGGAGTGCTGCTTTAATGCTGAATTTAGCACATCAGGGCATTTCCATAGGAGCCACTTATGACACCAGAAAACAAGTTCAAACTTCAGTTCCTGGAGGACACTGAAGGGCACGACAAGATGACGGAGAAGTCTCTTTTCTAAGCATACGTGTCTGCAACCATCACAAGGGAGATGGCCAAAGGTCACTATTTGGGGGGGGGGGGGAGCATTCCATAAATGAGTGTTATAGATTCCCTGCAAGCTGAGTAAACACTTGCTGCCTTTCCTGACATTGCTTCTATGACGTAATTTCCATACAAGCTTCCTAAGGATACTTCCTCTCTCCCTGAGGATGGAATGCTTTCTATGCTGCATTGGCACTGTTGGAGAACTAGGACTTAACCAGTGAATTGAGGGGTCGGAGTGGTTCCAGAAGAGGAATCAATAAGCACAAAAGCATGGCGGGGAGGCTCAGCTTGGCAGGCTCTGGTGACCCACTACATCTAATCAGACTGGAGGGGAACACCTACTCAGGGGAGTGGGAGAAAGGAAGCCAGATGGTCATTTTTTAGGATTTTTGCTGAAGACTACCAGACGCTTCTAAAAGATGCAAAGTGTTAGGTTAGGTGGCTCAGGAGGCGGCGCAAGAAATAGAGTCCAGTGAATCAGAAAAGAAAGGAAAGGAAAAGGTTTATTCTGCGTCCCCGGGAGACCCAAGTACCCCAAGGACAGGGCACGTGGATTCACGCCAACAGGGAGGGGGGCGCTTTTTTTATACTGCGGTTGGGTGAGGGGCGGGGACATGAGCTGAGGAATTCTCTGCTGCAGGGAATGGGCGGAATATTCAGGACGAAGTTCTTATCTGTGTGGGGGTATGTGAATTCATGGAGAAGAAGCTGGTATCTGTGTCTGGCACCTTGATCTGTGAGAAATTCCAGGGGAAGTCCATTATCTTGTCATGTCTGCATGTATCCGATCCTGGGCTCTCTCCGACCTAACACAAAGCAGGTGAGTGACATCACCAAGCTGACATTTTAGAAAAGCACACAGGTCACAATAAAGAGAATGGCTTGGGGAGTGCCAGACTGCCTGCATGGGGGGGGGGGGGGGGGGGGACCTTAAGAGGCAGTTGCCATCATCCACCTTCTTAAAGTCAGTGAAAGCCAAACTAACACACTGGTGGAGGGGAAAGGTGAGCAGGGGGTAGTGTCAGGTTCAAGAGAAAAAACAGAGGCAGAATAAATGGGATTTAGAGGTTAATTGTATTTATGCAGCTCTGCCCTGATTATGGTAGATGGCCGTGTCCCTGATCAAGACTGAAATGCATTTTACAGGAAGAAGCAAGTGTTGTGAGGAAAGGTAAGTTCAGGTTGGGCCATGGTAGGTTGAGTTGCCTGCAGGACAAGGTCCTGAGAGAAATCTGCTGAGACTTACATTGGTGGTGGGTGGTGTTTGTCTATACAGGGGTGGGCAAACTTTTTGACTCGAGGGCCACAATGGATTCTTAAACTGGACCGGAGGGCCGGAACACAAGCATGGATGGAGTGTTTGTGTGAACTAATATAAATTCAAAGTAAACATCATTACATAAAAGGATACGGTCTTTTTTTTCAATAGTTTTATTCATTTCAAACGGGCCGGATCCAGCCCGCAGGCTGTATTTTGCCCACTGGATTGATTCTTTCCTAAAGATTTGTGTGTAGGTGTTATCAGGATTGACTTAGGCATTATCTGCATGCAAGTCATCATTAAAACCATGGATATGGATGAGATTGTCAAGAAAGACCACAGACTTCAAAATAAGAGAATAATAGCTTAAGGTAAAAGACAGAGAAAGAGGTGCCAGAGACCAATTCCAGCATGACAGCAGGGCTGAATCTGGGAATGGCTGAAGGCATTTCCCCAAACCTGAATAGGATACATTAAAATGATTCTTGGCTGCCAGACAGCTAAAGGGCATCTTAATCTACATGTTATTGACTCCTACTGGCCAAACACCTGAACACCATTGGCTAATTCCCCCATTCTGACAATGCTTGCGTATACCCTTTGAAGTGTATATCTCTGCCTCGCCTCAGGACAAGTTGTATTAATAAAAAGCATGGGGTCCTGAGACAGGAGACTTTGACCCTTAGATCTTATAACTTAGCTCCTTTAGCTAAGCTCCTCTGACCCCCAAATGCCTTTCAAAATTATGCTTCGTCTCCGGACTCTATTAATCTATGCACAGCCTTCTCCAGATTGCTGAACCCTTCTTAATGCTGGGACAAGAACACCAGCAAGAAGAGGTTCATGAAGACTGAGAAGGCAGAGTCAAAAGCCAAAGAAGAGATTGTCAAGAAAGAGGAAGGTGTAAAGAGAAGAGATACAGCAAGAGATCAAGCTATATAAGAACTTGAAAATGTCCACTGGATTCCATAGGGTTGGTGGAATGGTCAGAAAAGGGACAGGACAGTGGATAGAGCGTCAGCCTGCGGACTGAAGGATCCCAGGTTCGATTCCGGACAAGGGCATGTACCTGGGTTGCAGGCTCGATCCCAGTAGGAGGCAGCTGATCAATGATTCTCTCTCATTGATGTTTCTCTCTCTCTCTCTCTCTCTCCCTCTCCCTTCCTCTCTCTGAAATCAATAAAAATATTAAAAAAAAAAGGGGGGGGGGGGACAGGACAGCAAGGAGGGACCATGAGTGGTTATTCATGAGCTGGTGGGTTGGTTGGCTGGTACAAAACAGAAGGAACTCAAACGTTTCTACCTTATGGTGGGAAGCCAATTAGAGGAAGAACTGAGAGAAAGGAGAATAAAGGAAATGAGTGATGGATGTGGTCCCTCAGGAAACCAATTGGAAATGTAGTTCCCAGCCCAAGAGGAGGAATTACTCAGGGGCTGAGAAGCACAGGTCTGCCATTGAGAAGGGAGAGGGACAGCAAGGAATGTATGAATGTCCGTGTGGATATTATGGGAGCTAGGCTAGGCCTGCCTGATGGGGAAATTAGTACGCATACTCATTACATTAAAGAAATTAATTTTGTCCATCATTCTCTTAAAACCTGTTAATGAGACTCCCACAATTTCCAAAGCCAAAGTGACTGAGGTGATGGTGATGAGTTTCCGGAAGCTGAGGATGCATCATACAGTCATCAGTGATGGGTAGTGGTTGTTGTTTTGGGGGGGGTGGGGGGGAGGGCGGGGGTTGTATTTTATTCTAACTGAAAACACAGCCTGGTTTATTTTTTACTCAATTTAATTTCTTTCAAGCTGTAGACTGTGAGTCATACCTACTTCAAACAATTTCATTTTCCTTAGTGTCAGGCTTTTGTGTCTTTGCCCCTCAAAAATCAGCAGCTGTTCGAAAGGTATTTGCTATGCTCAATAACCATTTGAAAATAGAAACTCAAATATGTAAGGTGAGTCACTACCTTTTAGACATCTTTCTCGGAAGCAACCTTTTCTCCTACCCATATCACGGCCCATCCAGGAGGATGTCAAGTTTCTATGTTAGAAAATCACAATTGGTAGACACGAGGTCCCTTTCATCAGTAAAGCACCCGTTTCTAAATGGGATGTGGAGCAAATTCAATGCTGTGTGAGAAGCTGTTCAGCAAGGGAAAAACTCACACTAGGTGAGGAATCAATTAGGGAAGGGCTTACCCTTTCCAACCTACTCACTGTCTAGCACATAAATGGAAGCCCAGTGTGCCATATGGTTAATTGGGATCAAGGCCAGGACCAGAATCCAGGTCTCCTCACTCCCCTCCCACTATTCATTCCTCCTCTCAGAACATCTGTTTTTCCTGCTGGGCAGCAAACTCTGAAGGGCCATGGGAACTCTTCCATCTTGTTCACTTAGGTATCCCCGGCATAGAGGTGACAACAAAAAATACCTGTTACTAGGTTAACCACAATCAGGGTTCATTGCTGTTGGTCATTTGTGAGGTTTCATGCAGAGCTGAACATCAGAATAAAAGGTCTCAACAAAAAGAAAAATAACCACCAACCCATAAACACATGGTTTATGAACTCTGAAAATCCCAGGACTCCAGATATGACTTCTAGGGTGTGAAAGCCTTGGGAATAGCAGCTGTAGAGCCACCTCTTGCTAATGGGGTCTGTGCCAGGGTTTCATTACTCCTCCAGTTGGCAGGCACCACACCCATAGCCTTCTATGCAGCCTGAGAACAGAAGTTTCCACATTGCCTCTCAGTCAGCTTTAACCAACTTGAATCCTCCTTGAAATATTTAACAGGTTCTCTCCTCTCCCCCAAACACTGTAACTGCTAAGCCTCCTTTCATCTTCCCATTATCAAACCTAAATTTTTATGTGAATTGAAATCACATGTCCTTTTGCACGTTCTCAATGCATTCCATACTTCAGGGGACAGCCCCTGCAGAGTCTGCAGGCACTTCAGGGAGTTAGGGTTTGAAAGTAGCATGAACCACAGTTGACGTTTGTTTTTTCAAACAACACCCTGTAAGGTTCTTCGTTTTGCTGAAAACCAAGTGCCAGCTTGATGCCTTTCTACTCTGGTTGAGACCAAATGCTTCTCAAATGAATCTGCTGGAAGGGTTTCTAAGGAGAATTATATTCCACTCTAAGCATTCTTCAGTTTGGGTTTGGTTTGGGTTAATTGGTTAATGGTGAAAATAAGTACTTACATTGTTTGCCCCTAAATCAGGAGTTGCTGCTGCTGCTGCTGCTCTATCCCATCGTGACAGCCTGCTGTTACTCACAGCTGGCAGACACTGTGAACTTTGATGCCACGTCAGCCGCCCGGAACCATTCTGCTACAGCAACAGTTTCCCATCGGTATGATTTCGTGTAGGATCCTGAGGCCGGAAACAGGACCGGGCCGCCATCTTGAGAAGGTCAATGAGAAAGACGCCACAAACCGAGATTACAGAGAGAAACCTCACAAAACACTTGGTGTGACTAAATACGCATTCCAAGGAGAACTTAAATAGTATATTGACTTTCTGAACAACCATGACAAGTTAGTAAGGCACACACACAAAAAAAAACAGGATTAGAAATTGAAAAAGTAAAATTTAGTTCATTGAAAAATATGATGTTGGAGTGGCCAAAAACTGAAAAAGCGAATGCTCATATATAGGGAAATGGTTGACTAGATTGTGAGACATTTCTGTCATGGAATATTAGGATATCTAATAACAAATAATAAACTACAGCTACATCAGTGGAGGGTTCTGCAGCATATCAGTGAGCAAAGAAATGTATATTATACCATTTGGGGTTGCAATGACATGTTATCAAGTAAAAAGTATGATAATATCCCATATGCTATTACGTATGCATTTTTAATAATGTGATTATATATCCAGGCATTTATGTATTTAAATAGATAAAAAGTATATAAAAGATATATATCTGGCTGTTAATAATACTATCTCTTTTGTTTCAGGGAAAGGGTGTAAAGAACAATGAATAAGGGTGGAAGGAACTTTGAAGAGGTTTAACAATAAAACAGCACTTATCGCATTCCATCCCGGATAAAACTACTGTCTGGGAATGGTGTGTATGCATAAAACGTATGTCAAAGTTTACAAATGTGTTCATTAGATGTCTTAAGTTGGTGCGACTGCAGATAAGTTGTACTTTATTCTCTATAATCTTATGTATATTTTATTTTTTTCCAAAGAAAAAAATTATTTATATAATCAGAAAAAAACAGTAAAGCTGTTTGTATTTTGTAAAACTCGTTGACAACTGGTAACTTGCCTGAACTCTTAATGCCTCAGAGTCCCTCTGCTAAATCTTCGGTAGACGTGAGCTTTTCCGCTCTGTTCCAGATACACTCAAGATTTCTTCAGCCGTTCTTGTGCTTATCTGGAAAGGACACGCCATGACAAAGGGAAATGCAAAACACTCCTCCAGCCCACACTTCACACAGCCCCCTGCCCCCTGAGAGCGATGTCAGATGTGTGTGGGGGCGAGGGCGGGGGTGCGGAGCGGGGGCCCACAGCACATGCTCGCAGGGAGAAGTTGCTGACAGTGCTGTCCAACCTGGACTCTCCGACCACGCCTCTGGAGGTGACTCAGAACTCATTTGGGAAAATGCCAACTGAGGGAATGAAGAAGGAAGTTGGAATGGACCGACCCATCCCTGTATTTCAGGAACAGAGCCAGAAATTGAGAAATAAACTCTTACTGGTCAATGACCAAATAACCAACAGAAAGAAAAAAAAAATGTACATGATTAGAACATGGGAAAGGTCACTATGGAATCACTGACCACATTTTCTGAATTAAAATGAAGTGAGGTCTATGAATGTAGTTGGATATTAATTATACTGAAGACACGTATTTGGGTTTTTTTTGTTAATTGAGGCAATCATAGGAAATTCAAGATGTACTGTCACCATAAGGGCTATGTGTCAAGTAGATATATTTATAGAATCAGAAGGAAAATATTTATTCATTACTCTGGAATGGGAGCAGCTCTCAGTTTTAAACTTAAATGGGAAAAATATCTAAATTTAGGTAAAATTTCTAAATTCTAGAATTGTTTTTAAAAAGAACTTTTGAAAAAAAAATGTTGTTCTTATACTTTCAACTACAAAAATAATCCAAAGTAGAGTTCAAAAATGTTTTATCATAAAAGGAGCTTTAATTCAACCTATCATATTAGACTAGAGGCCCAATGCACAAAATTCGTGCAAGGGGCTCAGTCCCAGCCGCCACCATGGCCTCCTCTGCCTCGGTCCCCACCCATTGCTGTGGCTTCGTCCGGAAGGATGTCTGGTCTAATTAGCAAATTACGCTTTTATTATTATAGATAGACACAGTAGAGATTCAGAGAGGTTAAATAACTTGCCCAAGGTCACACAGTGGAACTCGGGCTCTGGTTCTTGGAGATCATCCCCACAACATTGTGCTGTAAATATTGAGAATAAGTCTGGCCTGGCCTGACTTCTTTACTTAAAAAAAGACACTCATAATTACCATGTTCTTGCTTTGTATGCAAAGAGCACATCCTTATATGTATGCAAAGAGTAGTGAAATACGACCTGCATTTGCCTTATGATTACTCTCCTTTATCTTACTAATAATCACTGGACTTAGATGAAGTGAAGGATGCAAACAGACATCCATAAAAAGCAGAATGGAGCCCTGACCGGTTTGCTCAGTGGATAGAGCATCAGCCTGCAGACTGGGGGTTCCCGGGTTTGATTCTGGTCAAGGGCATGTACCTTGGTTGCAGACACATCCCCAGTGGGGAGTATGCAGGAGGCAGCTGATCGATGTTTCTCTCTCATTGATGTTTCTAACTCTCTATCCCTCTCCCTTCCTCTCTGTAAAAAATCAGTAAAATATATATTTTTTTAAAAAAGCAGAATGGAAATAAATGCCAAATGTGTGATGTCAGAGGTAAATGCTATGACAGATCAGGAGAGGGAGGTAAACCAAAGGGGGATTTTGAGAGGGGTAAGAAAAGAAATCAATGCAAAGAGGGATAGGAATGAATATTCAAAATATGAGGTTTCTTTTCTGAGAACAGTTCTACTATTCAGGTTATTATTGATGATATGTGACCTTAGCTTACATGGGATTTGTGACCTTGATCCAAAGATAATCTAGCAGTCTCATTTTCCACACACTTCCCTTACTTAAAGAGAGATACATTTGGAAAATATGCAAAAAGAAAACATCCCTGTATTCATAAGCCTACATTTTCCTTGGCTCAGACATCTTTGGTAAGTTGAGGACGTTACTAAAGTTGTCTGCATGTAACTAAACAACTGAATAAAAAGCAGGAAATGCAGTAATTGTTATGCTCCCAAACACATACCTTTTGGGTCTCATAGACACATCTTTCCAAAACCATGAGCAAATGGAAGGTATTGTGAGTTTAGACATCACTGAACCAAAAAAATCCATGGCGGAAAACAATTACAAATGTTTCTTATTGAAAGAATATTAAGCTCCATCTCTTAAAAGGGCGATTTTCAACTGGTGTGCCACAGGAATTCTTAAAATATGCAATACCTGACTATTTAGTCAGGGGCATGACCTCTTTCCCCTTAGATTGCATCACTCCACTTTCTGCCTCAGTTTTCCCACGGTCAGATCTTCCCTCAGTGTGTGTCCAAACCTGCCTCTACTTATAAAGACACCAGTCATTGCATCAAGGCCACCCTAATCCAGTATGACCTCAGCTTAACTACATTACGTCTATGAAGACCCTATTTCTAAATAAGGTCATATTCACAGGTACCAATGGCTGGGATTTCAACAGACTTTTTGAGGGGACACAATTCAACCCACAACAGGCAATTCATGGAGGTGATGTGACAGCCAGGAATACTGTTCTTCCCCAAAGAACCCACAGGCTCTTAGGGTCACTATTAAGCCCTCTGAGAGCCTGTTACAGTAGAACAGGGTAGGGTCTAGGCCTCCTTTGTAGACCTCAGTTCCCCAGGCTGAGGAAGGGCCATCTTACCAGGTACACACGCAGCTCAGTGAGCGTCCTCAACCCTGCCTGAGTGAGAAAACAAAGCTGATGCAGGGAAAAGCCATCTTCATAGTGAATAAACAATTCAAACAAACATTGCGTTTATGGCAGGTCAGCGGTATCTCTGAATAAACAGATGGAATATATTTGATGAGAAGCTACAAGTTGACAAGATAATGAAAGCCTAAAAGATTTCCTACTATCTCACCATTAGCAGCAATCAGGGAAACTGGAGAGATCAAAAACAAAGAAAATAACCTGTGCTGTGCTACAGAACACAAATTTGGTTAAGGGGTAATGTACTCCAGTAATCAATTATCAAGGATTAAGTGCCTATTATTGCAACACGGATACCAAAAAAATAAAATGAAATGCACAGCACCACCCTGCAAAGAACTTACCCACCAGCTGGGGATATGAAGAAACTAGAGGCACATATTAAAGACAAGGTGTAGTTCATTGCTAAATTTATGATGTAGAGAGACTCAATAATACAAAAATAGGAGAGATGAATGATTCCAGGATTATTCAAATTAGGCTTTCTGGAGTTTGATACGTAGTTCTTTGGAGACCATTCTGTGTTTCCCAGTCACTGGATTGGACTCTAAACCCTCACCCCTCACTCCATGAGATTATCAGCGTCTCCATCTCACAGATGAAAAAACCAAGATTCACACACATAAAGTGACTTGCCCAAAGCCAGATAGCTCATAAGTTCCCACGTCAGGAATTGAACCCAAGTCTTTCATGGTCAAGTCCATAGCTTCATCTGCAATGCATTGAAGGGTGAGTCGGGTTTGGATAGATAAGTAAACACAAGGCGAGTATTTTATGTGTAGGAAATGGGATTAATATTTTATTATTACATTTTCTAATTGGCTCCTGAGAGCCAGCCTGTATCCCCAGATGAGAAGCTGCTGTCAATCCTTCAGCTCTTAAAATATCTGGGTCAGTGAGAAGAGGATCACAAGGTCTCCTTGTGGTTATTTTTAACTTAAAAAAGGAAAGAAAAAAAAAACCCTTTAAAGAAAAGGAGAGGATAAAAATGAAAAATACCATGAGAAATTTTACCAGCTGAATTTAAAAAGGTAATTGTTCGATAGGAACAGCTGGGCTACTGACCTGACTTGGAACCTGCAGGGAGGGGTCCCTGGTGGGTCAGGCTGACTCCTGGCCCCATCAGAACTGAGAAGGGTGGCCTGGAATCCACATCAGAAAGTGGACCTGCGACCCAGCAGAAATGGAAAGTAGGAGGCACGCAGGGGCTGGTGCCACTTCCCCACACCTGCCTTTAAAATGACATTGCCCTCGATCCTTTCTTCAGAGAAGAAAGGGAGGAAGAAATTCAGGGGACCTGTTCCAGAGTCTACCACTGGCTTTTGCGATTTCAGAACAAAAGGAAAGGTAGGGGAATCTTCTAAGCAATTGCCCTGTGTTACAGGAAAGTGACACCAACTGACGTGCGAATGCTATTCTTATGAGAGAGATATTCTGAGTGCTGCTTGATGTTTTTCTTTGAGACAAATCAGCAGAAATGCAAACTCCCTGCCCAGCTTTCCCATCAGCTCAAAGACACCAGGAATGAGGAAGCTGTAAGTGCCAGAAAATATGTCTCCCAGGACCTCGGAGGGAGACGGTTCTGCAAAGCAGCCCACTGTGTCACGTGTCAAAGGCAGCACAGGAAAACCGCCTTCTCTAGGGTCTGAGGCAACAGACCCTAGCTCAGTGCTCC